AAACCCCATCCCCCAGCCCTCCCAAAAAAAAAAACAAAAAAAAAAACCCTCCCTTCCCCCCCCCCTGAGCTTCCCAGAGCAGAATATAGGCTTAAAAAATAAAAATAAAAATTAAATTAAAAACTTTATATTTATATATATAAAAAAATTATCTATAATATATATGAAAATAAAACTTATGAAAAAACTATATAATATTTTTGTATACCCAATCTAAATTGTATAAATTTTATCCATTTATCCCAAACAGCAAAAAACTTCTCTTGCGTTTGTTGCTTTAAGAAAGCCGAAATCTTTGCCATTTCTGCCAGATAAGCTACTTTAAGAAACCATTGGCAATGGTTGTAATGCTTATTGGCATTACAAAATGTATTTTGTTTCATAAATAATAAGTTGGTTGCAGCTTGGTCTGCTATCAACATATTAAATTGTGACCTTAATAACTTTACAGATTCTTTAATACTCTCATCAGAAGGATTTAAAATCAAAGCCCTTTCTTTTAATTTAATTTCATCTTCAAGTTCTCTACGTTTCTGAATCTGATTTCGCTTATAAAAATTATTCATTTTTATCAAAACACCGCGCATAAATGCTTTACCTGCATCCCATACCATTGACATTGAAGTCCCCTTATACATATTCAAAGCAAAATAGTCCTTTAAACACTCCTTTAGTTTTTGAACATTCTTTTCTTGTCTAAACAAATTTTCATTAACTCTCCAGGATCTTCTTTCCTCTTTCTCTTGAATCAGCTCCATCCAAACTGGACTATGATCCGTCAGTGATCTAGGAAAAATCTTTACATTCTTTACTTTATTATACAAGTCCGTGGTAATCAAGAAAAAGTCAATTCTTGAAAAAGATTGGTGTCTATCAGAAAAAAAAGTAAAGTCTCTCTCCTCTTGGTTACGTTCCCGCCAATAATCCCTTAATTCCCAGTCTTCTTTCATGTCAAAAAAGGCTTTAGGTAGCCTTGCTTGTTTAAGAAAAGGAGAGGAACCTTTCTTATCCCTTAGTGTATCTAAGACACCATTCCAATCACCCATTAATACCACTGATCTATAATCAAGCAAAGTTATTTTTTGATGTAACTGTTTATAAAATTGTTCCTGTTGTTGATTTGGAGCGTAAAGTCCAACTATAAGTACTTTCTTACCATATATACCAAGTTCAATCATCACATATCTCCCCTGGGGATCTGATTCTACCAGACAAGCTGGTAGGTTTTGTTTAACATATATAACAACTCCCCCTTTCTTCCCAGGAGCAGGAGATATAAAATGAGATCCCAAACGAGCATTAACTAAATATTTCTGGTCTTTAAGTAAAATATGAGTTTCCTGTAGACAAATAACATCATTGGTATGTTGCTTCAAATAATAAAAGATTTTTTTCCGTTTCTGAGGAGAATTCAATCCATTAACATTCCAGGTCAAAAACTTTGCCATCTCCCTTGGCACGCAGCCTGGAGAAGACACCATCAAAATCTGACAGAGCTGCGTGTGTTGCATAACTCTTGGGTCTTGCTCCTCCCACCGGCGGTGAAGCACTTCCAGGAGAACTCTCTTTGGGCTCTTTTTTACGTTGCTCCTTCTCTTTACGCTTATAGGCTGCACGAGTCATCCTCTGCTCTTTAGCCTCCGTCTGGCGTTGCTTTGCCGCTTCTATCATCCCTGCGGAAACCAAATCTAATGCCTCAGATTGCTGCTCAGCTTCCTTACCACTCAAAGATTTCCGACCAGATGAAGTTGAGCCTGCACCCAGGACCGAAGTATAAAAATCTCTAGCTTTATCAACTGTGTTCAATCTGTAGCGTGTCCCAGCATGGCTCAAAACAATACCCATCGGAATTTCCCATCTAAATGGCATCGATCTAGCTTTAAGCTCATTGGTTAAAAAAGCAAAGTCTTTTCTACTTCTTAAAATTTTGGATGGGATTTCCTTTAGAATGATGACATCTTGGGCGGCAATCTGAAATCTTTTGTTGTAAAAGGCTTGTATAATCTCATTCCGCAGGGACTTCTTTGTAAAGTAAATCACCACATCTCTAGGCAAATTCTTCTGCTTAGCAATCCAGGAGTTGAGTCTATAAATTTTTTCCACTTCTCTCTGTAATTCTCCTTTATCCATATCCAAGGCCAGCGCCAGATCAGTAAGGACCACCTCCACCAAATCTTGATTGATATCTTCCTTGAGGCCTCTAATCCTCAGGGCATACTCCATCTGTCTGTACTGAAACATCAAAATATCTTCTTGTGAGGAGTCCACCTTCCTTTCCACGTCTTGAATTTTGTCATCCAAAGAGTCAACTTTGTCTTCCACTTCCTCAAGCCTTGCGTCGAGCTTAACCACCACAGTAGCCAAACCTGAAACAGCTGCCAATATATCTTGTCGTAGTTCATTATTATTTTCTTGCAATTTAGACTTTATCCCCGTTATCTCTTCTTTGAGATCAGATTTAATTTCTGATTTAATCTGTGAAACAAATTGATTCATTTCCTCTCTCATTTGAACTACAATCTCTCCCATTATGCCTCTAACCTCTTGTACTGAAAGTCCAGGTAGAGGAGGGGAGGGTGGTGGCTGAGCCGGTGGTACATGTTTAGATTGTTGTTGTAGCTGTGCAGTGGAAGTTATAGGAGAAGAAATAACCTTAGGTGCTGAGGAAGGCTGCTGCCTCTTTGAAGCCATTTTAAAAAGCACAATTGTCACTTCCCTTTCCCCTCCAGCCAAAAAGGGAGGAGGAAAGAAAAAAAAAAATTTTTTTAAAAAGAGACAAACTATAGTCATTAAAAGTCCAGAGTAAATCCAAAGAATAAGTAGTAAAAGAGCAAACAGTTCAAAAGAAAAAATTCTAAACCAAAAGCAAAAGCAGAAGCAAAAAACAGTCCTTAGAAAGGGAAAGTAAAACAAAAGAGAAAGGAAAAAAAACTCCGACAGTTTCAAAACGCCATCTTAAATCCTTTCACTAGTATAACAAAAAAAAAGGAGGAAAAATAGTAAAAATCAAAAGATAAAAAAATAAACACCTAAAATATAACAAAAAATCCTTTAAACTGCTCCGTCCGTTTAAAAATTACTCACCAAAATGCTGTAAACACGGAGATAGAAGCGGCGGTTTCTTTTGCTTCCTAGGAAGCAAAAACAGCTGGGAGGCGGAGATCAGCAAGAGCTCCGAGGGAACACTCCTTTCACCCCCTCTAGAAATAAATCCAGAGGGGGTTCAGGGGTTCTACCTCTACTCTTGCGTTCTCTGTCCCTTCCCTTTGCCCGGGAAGGGATTTCCGAGCCGCGGGCCAGCTGATGCGCGCTGCGCTCCGCGGCTCTGACACTTCCCCAGCTGGACGGCTAAAAGCTAGCCGCCATCGCCGTCGCCTCCCACCGGAAGCTCCGCATTTGGAGGATTCTAAACACGTTTCAAAATTCTTTTCAGAATATTGCTTTGCTATTGTGGTGGCTCGTGCATAGGTTTAATCTGTTTTTATGGATTTATAATAATAATAATAATAAAGTTGGAAGGGACTTTGGAGGTCATTTAGTCCAACCCTCTGCTCAGGCATGAAACCCTCTACCATTTCAGACAAATGGCTGTCCAGTCTCTTCTTAAAAACTTCCAGTGTTGGAGCATCCACCGCTTTTGGAGGCAGGTTGTTCCACTGGTTAATTGTTCTGTCAGGAACTTTCTCCTTAGTTCTAGGTTGCTTCTCTTCTTGATTAGTTTCCATCCGTTGCTTCTTCTCCTGCCTTCAGGCACTTTGGAGAATAGCTTGACTCCCTCTTCTTTGGGGCAGCCCCTGAGATATTGGCACACGGCTATCATGTCCCTCCTTGTCCTTCTCTTCATTAAACTAGACATACCCAATTCCAGCAACTGTTCCTTATATGCTTTAGCCTCCAGTCTCCTAATCATCTTTGTTGCTCTTCTCTGTACTCTTTCTAGAGTCTTTTTTACATTGTGGTGACCAAAACTGCATGCAGTATTCCAAGTGTGGCCTTACCAAGGCCTTGTAAAGTGGTATTAATACTTCATGTGATCTTGATTCTATCCCTCTGTTAATGCAGTCCAGCACTGTGTTGGCTTTTTTGGCAGCAGCAGCACACGGCTGGCTCATATTTAAATGATTGTCCACTACGACTCCAAGATAAATTTAATGATAAACTAAATGATAAATTTAAATAAATTTCAGAAGACTAGTGGACATACGATTAAAATTCCCACCAACTTATCCACTGGAGTGCACAGCTTGCTGTGGGGTGAAGCAGCTCTGAGCATTTCTGTCTGGAAGAAAACTTGGCAATAAAAAGAGCCACTTCGCCTGCCTGCCACTCATGGGCTGGCAGGGGAAGCGTGGGGAGAGAAGCAGGGTAGAGGGGATCGTTTGCTGCCAGTCCTCTGAGCTCACAGAGACTGAACAGGGGTCCTCAACCTTGTCAACTTTAAGACTTGTGGACTTCAACTCCCAGAATTCCTCAGCCAGCAAAGCCAGAGTTGAAGTCCACAAGTCTTAAAGTTGCCAAGGTTGAGAACCCCTGGAATAACAGGAGATCCCACTTCCTCCTCTCTCCCTGTCATGCCCAATAGCCGAGGTAACCAACCTTGGCTCTTTTATGACTCCTGGACTTCAACTCCCAGAATTCCTGAGCCAGCATGGCTTAGCTTGGAAACCTCTCCCTTTCCCCTCAACTTGGAATTCTGGGAGTTGAAGTCCACGCCTCATAAAAGAGCCAAGGTTGCCTACCCCTGGCCAATAGGAACGGGGCGGGAGCTCCTCTAACCTTATCTCAGCCCGACTTTTCAGACTGACCCCAACAACAATCGCTCGCCCCTCCCTTCCCAGCATTATATGCACGTTTCGAAAGCAGCGTTTGTTTGCTTCAAAAACTGCTGCAGATTCTCCTCTTTCCTAACAGATAGTTTCTCACTGTAGTCGCAGACTGAACTTAGAAGTGGAAGAGTTGTCCTGCTATTCTAATTTTCATATCTCTACGTTCTCCTCCCGCAGAGCATCCGGCGCGACGACTCCGCTTCTTCCGGCGGGCAAGATGGCGTCGGGGCGTGCGGTGCCGAGTGACTTGTTCCCGCTGGTGCTCGGCTTCTTGCGGGAGAACCATTTCGATAAGGCGGCGCGGGCTTTTGGGAAAGCGGCTGGAGTGGTGAGGCCAACGTGGCGGGCAGGCGCGTGCGTGGCCCTCCTGGAAGGGCATCTTCCGACGGGACTGCAGGGCAGGGAATCCCCGCCGCGGCTTCGGAAGTGCCCTGGGGAGGTCTGCGCGGCTATCCGAGTTGACTGGCAGGACCGGCCACGTGGATGTCGTCAGGGCAGGTGTTCCCATGGGGGAGAGCGGAAGAAGGGAGCCTGGAAGAGATTGTCCAGGCCAATTGCAGCCTTTAGGGAAGCTCAGATGAAACCTTATGAAAATAGCATTGCCGCACGTGGCATTTAAAAGAAACGCTGCTATTCAGCCTATCAGCTACTTGAAGGGAAATTCCTCTGGGTTTAGACTGCAGTGTTTCTCAACCTTGTCAATTTTAAGGCATGTGGACTTCAACTACCAGAATTCCACAGCCAGCAATGCTGGCTGTGGAATTCTGGGAGTTGAAGTCCACATGCCTTAAAATTGACAAGGTTGAGAAACACTGGTTTAGAGCGTTACACACCTTCGTTGTCCTTGTGTTATTGCTATCTCTTAGTGCTGCCCTTAGGTCAGTGGTAGGCAACCCTGGCTCTTTTATGACTCGCGGACTTTAAACTCCCAGAATTCCTGAGTCAGCTTCTTGTAGAAAACGTAAGAGACTTTTACGAATTCCAGAGGGTTTTAGCAGAGAGATTTATTTGCGCAGTTCAGAAGCAGTAACAACAAGCAATTCTGAACACCGAGGGCGGGTTCAAACTACAGTTTTATACTTTCCCTTTCTCAGGAACAAAGGAGCACACATAGAAATCTACATTGTAATACATTAGATTCATTTCTCACCTGCACACAATGAAGAATCTGCTACATACATTGTTTCCAAGTGCAATACGCATTTGGTTAGTCACAGATTGCTAACACAGCTTTATTCCAGTAATTATGCAGACACATCATTGTTTTAATGATTTTTCATTATTATTATTATTATTATTTCATATTATTCTATATTATTCTACCTTATGCTGATCCTGATGCTTTTAATTTAGTAAATCAAACAAATTATAAATGTGGTCTGTTTAGAACAGTGGTTCTCAACCTTTTTAATGCCGCGACCCCAACTGGTCGTAAGTCGAGGACTACTCAACCGGTCGTAAGTCGAGGACTACTCAACTGGTGTAGCACCGTTTGCAGAATGGGACTTTTGGCGGGCTCAGCAGGGCAGAGACAGCCTGGACAATTCCTATTGGCTTTTGGAAGCCAATAGAATTAGACTCTATTCAAGAGAGTCCATTCTATTGGCTTTTAAAAGCCAATAGAATAAAAGGGAGTAGCACAGCTAAGGAAAAGGGGAAAAAAATGGCGGACTGCATTGTTTGGCGACCCCCGTGAAATGGTCGTTCGACCCCAAATGGGGTCCCGACCCACAGGTTGAGAACCACTGGTTTAAAAGCACTTTATCAGGGCTTGAAAAACTGGTGGCCTTCATTATTTTATTGTTAAATGCACTACAGGTGGTCCTCAACTTACGATCATCATTGAGCCCAAAATTTCTGTGGCTGAGTGAGACATTTGTGAAATGGGTTTTGCTCATTTTATGACTTTTGCCTTATTTGTTAAGTGAATGATTGCAGTTGTTAAATTAGTAGCACGGTTGTTAAGTGCATCTGGCTTCCCCACTGATTTTGCTTTTCAGTAGGGGATCACATGACTCCGGGACACTGCAACCGTCATAAATGTGAGTCAGTTGTCAAACATCCGAATGTAAATCACATGACCGTGGAGCTACCACAACGGTCATAAGTGTGTAAAATGGTCACTTTTTCAAGTGCCATTGTAACTTCAAATGGTCTCTAAGTGAACTGTTGTAAGTCGAGAACCACCTGTATTTGTGCGGAGAATGCTTTATGTAACAGCTCTGTACTCATGACATAGGACGTTTGCAAGATGACAGGATTGTTACATGTATCTCTAACCTGAATTTTTCAGTCACTGTCAAAAATATGATTTACCTTAATTTTTTTTCAACCTTCATTTTCTTCATGATTCTCTTGTAGACTGAGCAAGATCCAAATGCTGCTTCTCTCCTTGATATCTTCAATTATTGGCTAAAGTAAGTGGCTTCTCTTCAGGGAAAAGGTTATATATTTCTGTTTGAAACAATTTAATTGGCTAGCTTAATTTTTAGTCAGTAGTTTGCCACGAGCTTTAAGTCTTTCTGCTGTGAATGTAGGTGAAACTAGTAATAATTGGCTGGAAGTTGGCAATAGTTTCTCACCAATCCTAGAAGACAGGGAACGTATGAAATTTGTTCTGAAACTTGTTTCTAATAGCAGACTCTCTGAAACCAGAGAACAAATTCAAGTGTGATTTACTCTGTTCGTTTTACAATTGGCAGCAAAAGTTGCCTCAACTTTCGCATCCCTTTGCAGCATCCCCATATTATATATGGCTACAGAAGGATGCCGCAGTTGGGGCAAGATCACTGCGCAGGAAGCAGTTACATGGAATAAAAGCTAGCAGGACATGGAACATATTATGGCTTGGGGTTTAACAGGTTTGTAGTTGAACCAAAATTTGGAATTATATGCCTCTTCGGGTTTTGACTACAACAAAGTCTTCCAGGACGAATAATCCCATTATCTTCTTTTCCTGCAACTGCTATGCTCCTAGCTTAGCCTCTGGCCTGCTTCTTTCCCCAGTTGTCTCAGCCTATTTTTTTTCTTATTTTTTTTTTCACTGATACACTGTGCTCCCAACCTACACCTTCCCCATTCCCAATGCTGTTTTTTTTCCTGCTGCTACCGTGCTTGAATTCAAATGCAACAGGCATAACCGGACCGGTCCATCTTCCTTGCTCTTGATTATCCCAGTTCCTTTTCTATCTTGGTATTGCTGCCTCTGCAACACGTATTTGGACCAAAAAAAAAAAAAATGTGGGTTCTGGGTCCAAACAAAACAATTGTCCAGGCAAGGGCAAGCTATGCTCTATTCACAAAATATTTTAGACATCTTTGTAGCTGAGTAAAATGCATTTGTTATGCTTAAACCCGTGGCCGTTTTTTTCCAGTGACTAAGGTTATAACAGCACTGAACAAATGGTGATTAGGAGAAGTCTCAGAGTTCCAGCCATCCCAGCAGTCATATGATCTGTGGGTTTGGCAACCAGTTTGAACTTATGACACAGCACCCTACAATCACATTTGTAATCTTCCCTAGAAAGTCAAGGGGGAGCCAGCCAGTAAAGTTGCAAGTAAGTTCCCTCTCACCCATATGCTGTCTTCCCCCTCTGTGCCTCATCATGGCACACCCACAGCACTCCTCCAACCCTCATTACACCCTCATGCAACTTCCATCCACTACATCTTTCATACATACCCTTGTATGTTCCCCCAATCTGCATCTCTCATATACCCCATTGCACCTACCTGACCCTTGCACGTCCCCCCTGATCTGGACTGTGCTCTTGCTTACCCTTGTGCACTCCCCATTTCTCCCCTCTTCTGAACCCTGTGCACCCTCCCCCTGTGGCATCTAGTGCACTCCCTTGCATCCTCCCAGACCTTCGCCACACCTCTTGCACACCCTTTTGTTTTCTCCCCCACCTGGCAGCAGTCACTTATCTATCTACTTGCTTGCAACTTCCTGCTAGCTTCCCCACTGTCTTTGGTTGAGAGAAGCCAGAAAAAAGTTGCCTCCCCAAACAGCCATGGGATCCAGTTAACTAATAATAACCTGGTTTATGCTTTACAGCTGCAATGTTTAGCGATGAAAATATTAGTCCCAATTGTTATAAATTGTGAAGTATCTGTATATAACCTCATGAGTTTATCTGCTAGTAGCTGTATGTTATAGACTAGAGGCACATATATTTGTAAAGAAATGAGACCTGCTTCATTTGTACTATATAAAGGTTGTGGGGATGTTTACTAGTAGTTGCATTTTATACTAAATTATTCTGTACTCCTTTAATATTAATAAACTTTGTTCTTCCAAAAAATATTCATTTTATAGATTAATAAGATACCAGCAGTAACTGCATTATCTCTGCAGGCATTATGAATGTTTGAGATGGGCCCTTTGATTACAAATTGAGATAGAAATGCTATAAATATAATCACAGCTTCTTGACTATAAATATTTAGATGAATGTTTTCATTTTCCCCCACCTTCTGTATTGGAGCATAAGATGGTCTCTTTTTTAGTCATTGGATATGCCCAGCTATGTTTACCATCGCACACTGGCTACATCATATGTCTCCAATATGGAATACGGAATAGCGATTCTTATACTTTCTCACCCATCATTCAGATCACCTATTGCCAAAAAACAGCGAGCATTGACCAATGAGTCTCCTGCAAAGAAGACAAAGAAAGAATCATTATCTAGGTACGAAAGTTCCAGTGAAAACGAAATTCCTCCAGTCAAAAAACAAGGTGAGGCTTGCTGGTTTATGTCTAGTGTAATCTTTCATGCTTGATTAAAAAGTATTTGCCCTCTTTGTAATCTTGAAGGCAATAGTACATTTTAATCTATTGCCTCAGTGATAACGGTTGTGTATAACAATTTATTTTTCAGAGTGGTTTGTTATATTACCGATAAAATGTCACATAAATTGATTCCCCTTTTGACTCAGAGAATGGTGTTTCAGCAGTAACCTAGCAGATACTTGTTTACCATTATGGACTTTTGAATGCATCCAAAAGTATTTATTTCAGTATACATAAATTCAGCTACAATTTCAGTTGAGAAATTGTAGATATCTTAGCTCAAAACCAGTTCTAGAAACGCAAGAGAATTTCTTGAGGTATGATACTTTGAGAAGCCATCATTAGCAGATCTGTTCAGATAAACTCCAGAACCCTAGGAAATAAAAAACCCTCAACGCCATTTGGTTGAAGCGATAGTTATTTTACTATCTCAAATTGTGACCTCCCAAATCCAATAGCCTATTTCTAACAACACCTAGTCTCATCCAAACTAAACAACAGGTAGCAAAATATAGCTTCAAATCTTTTCTTTTCTTCATATCTTTAATATCTTGTATTTAACTCATGCCTTTTTTCTTTGCCATACAAATTTAGACATATTCTTCTGCCACTGTTTAGATGGAACATACTGTATATTGTCATGTATTCTTGATTTATTGTAGATTAGTAGGTGCAGGGATTTATACTACGTTTTTATTTCATCTTTATTCTAAACTTTCCAGAATCTCTAGAGCTGAGCAGTTCTTTAGATTTACTTTTTATGATTTATGGTCCCAATCTTAGCTGTTCATTGTCATAGAACAGACATGTCAAACACAAGGCCCGGGAGCCGGATGCGGCCTGCGAAGTGGTTTCATGTGGCCCGCGAAGCCATCATGGAAACAGTGAGGGAACGGCCCCCACTGCCTTGGCCCCGGTCCAGGCTGCCCGGGAGCCAATGTACAATTTTGTGGTGGCCATCTATGCTGAAATGCATTCAATCTTAGCTCCACAAGGCTGCCTGGAAACAGCAAGGGACCGGCCCCTGCCGCATCAGCCCCGCCCCCTGGGTGCATGCTGGGGAGGTGTCACCCTTTGTGAGGAATGAAGAAATGCACCAACACCTGGAAGTGGCCAGCAAATGGCCCTCACCTACTTCACCTATCCGTCTTGATGGGCTCCGGCGGAGGGGTTTCAGCAGGCAGTGAGCCTCCTCCAGTGGACCATGCCTTGGCGCTTGCCCTGGTCCCACCCCCTTCTGCCAGAGACCCTCAGATCTATCCCACTCCTGCCCAGGCCCCCACAGGCACCCTTGACGTGAATGATGTAGAGCTGGCCACACCCACCCAGTAGGCCACACCCACTCCGTCCACACCCACCCAGTAGGCTGCACCCACCCTGGCCACATCCACCTGCCCCCTGAGGGCAACCACAATGCTGATGCGTCCCTCAGTGAAATTGAGTTTGACACCCCTGTCATAGAATATAGAAGCTGATCTTTAGTTTTTGAGTAATAGTTATCTATTACCGTAACTATTATTTTACATTCTAGCTGCAAAACCAGTGACTAAGCTCCCAGTATCACTAAAGGCAACTCCAGGCAGCTCTGACAGCAGCAGTACTGACACCAGCGATTCCACAGACTCTGAGCAAGAAAAGAAGAATCAAGCAAAGGTTTGTCTTTAATTTTCTCAATCCCTCTTCCACAGGGAAAACTTGTGGAGTTTGTTTATTTATCATCAGTGACCGCATTTAAAAACTCATCCAGAGGAAGTAAAATAAATTCAAAACGTAGAATCAAATAAGATGTATCGTGTTTTTCCAAAAGTAAGACCTACCCCGAAAATAAGCCCTAGCTTAATTTTTTTGTGGGGTGGGCCTAATATAAGCCCTACCCCCAAATAAGCCCTAGGGAGGGGTGGGGAAGGTAAAGCTGCCCCATGTAACCCACACCCGCTTGCCTTACCAGTAGGACTGCCGCAGCCAGGCCTCCCATGCCGTGACACTTGTCAAGCCACGTGGCTCGTCACACCAGTGCTGCCGCTCATGGCAGGACGTTGCACAGCGCTTCGGGCCATTGTTATTGCTCGCAGCAGAAGGCCGCATGGTGCTTCAGGCTGTTTCTTCTGCTCACGGCAAGAAACCGCACTGCACTTCAAGCCGTCTCTGCTGCTTGCAGCAGGACGCCACATGGTGCTTTGGGCTGTTGCTGCCGCTCGCGGCAAGAAGCCGCATGGCGCTTTGGGCCGTTGCCACTCGTGGCAAGAAGCCACACGGTGCTTCGGGCCATTTCTGCTCCTCGTGGGAGGATGTTGCGTAGCTCTTTGAGCCATTTCCGCTGCTCATGGCATGACACTGCATGGCGCTTCATGCCCTTACCATTGCTTGCGGCAGGACGCCACGTGGATTCCTGCCACCAGCGACGGCAGTGGCCCAAAGTACCATGCAGCATCCTGCCACGAGGAGCAGAAACGGCCCAAAGCACCATGCGGCCTCTTGCCATGAGTAGAGGCAACAGCGCAGTGCACCACCTCAGAGGTGCCCAAAAGGTTGGGGACTCCGCAGACCAGAGGGGACATGGTTTCGTGTGCTATCTGCATCCAGCAGATGGGACTTGTTTGCGCGGCCTGGTTGCTGGTATGCCGTGATCCAGTGCCAGTCCACGGACCGGGGGTTGGGGATCCCTGTGCCACATGGCTTCTGGCTGCAGGTGGCAGCAAGTGGCCACTGAAGAAGTCAAGCAGCGGCACGACAGGTGTCAGGGTGTGGGAGGCCTGGCTGGTCCTAAGGTCTGAAAAGAATACCTAGTGCCTCTTTTGGAGGCAAAAAAAAATATAAGACCAGGTCTTATTTTTGGGGAAACACAGTATGCACAGAATGCACAAATCATAAATCATAAAAATAATAATTAGCAGCTGCTTGGTCCAATTTCTCTGCTTAAAAAAAAAGATGCAATAAAGTAGCTCACCAATTCTGGTACAGCAGACAGCGCATCTAGACGTGACTTATTGCTTCAGTAGTTATAGCTGAGCATGTGCAATGATGATTTAGATAAGGAATGTTATTAAGTCTCCTTTCATCAGCTTCAAGGACAGAACTTTGTATTGTAGAAAAAAAAAATCATTTTTATTGGATATAGCAGAGGGATATCAAACTCGATTTCATGGAGGGCCGCATCAGCATTGTGGTTATCCTCAGGGGGCTGGGTGGGCATGGTGGGGGTGGTGACGGATGACTGGGTAGGCGTGGCCATCTCAACCTCACTTGCATTAGGTGTCTTAGGACCCGGGGGGGGGGCTGGGGGGATCAAGGGTTCTTCAGTGAAGGGGGTGGGACCGGGGCATGCGCTGGTGCCTGATCCATCGGAGGAGCCATCTAACTCTTGGGCTGCTTGGCCCCCTCCAGAAAGCAACGAAGGGGGCCCTGGGTAGCGGGTGCCCGGCCTGGGATCTTCAATTCCCAGAATTCCTGAGCCAGCCAGGCTGAGGGGAAAGGGAGAGGTTTCCGAGCTGAGCCATGCTGGCTCAGGAATTCTGGGAGTTGAAGTCCACGAGTCAGAAAAAAGCCAAGGTTGCCTACGTCTGGGCTAGGCCTAGGCCACTTTATGACTGGTGGACTTCAGCTCCCAGAATTACTGAGCCAGCATGGCTCCTCTTGGAAACCTCTCCCTTTCCCCTCAGTGTGGCTGGCTCAGGAATTCTGGGAGTTGAAGTCCACGAGTCATAAAAGAACCAAGGTTGCCTACCCCTGAGTCAGGGCCTCTCTTCCTCAGTGACACAGCTCTCCTAAAATAATAGATGCTGAGCGAGAAGAACAATAGTTTTAAACAAGTTGCACCCATCTGTTGTTGAAGCCTACTTCCATCCTAATTACATTGTATTGATTGACACTGATACTGACCTATCTTGATAGAAGGGAATAGTTCTCCAATCAACCGTCCAAAAAACAAAGCCCCAGAAGACATCTAAGAGTTCGGATTCAAGCAGCTCAGAAGATGAAACGCCAAAGCAACAACTACCAAAATCAGAAAGAGCCCCAAAAGTCACAAAACTGGCCTCTACATCAGGTAACGGCTAACTTCAAGTTATAAGTTTGTGAGTAATTCAAGTGATATATGAAAGAAGTAAAGGAGACATGAATGTATTTTGATAGAGATTTTTTATAGGTTTTAATAAAAGAAAATTTAGTCATGTTCTGGTATTGAAATGTGTGGAAGAAATCTTAAGAGCAGTGGTTCTCAACCTTTTTAATGCCGCGACCCCCCAACCGGTCATAAGTCGAGGACTATTCAACCAGTCGTAAGTCGAGGACTACTCAACTGGTGCAGCACCGTTTGCAGAATGGGACTTTTGGCGGGCTCAGCAGGGCAGAGGCAGCCTGGACAATTCCTATTGGCTTTTGAAAGCCAATAGAATTAGACTCTATTCAAGAGAGTCTATTCTATTGGCTTTCAAAAGCCAATAGAATAAAAGGGAGTAGCACAGCTAAGGAAAAGGGGGAGAAAATGGCGGACTGAGTTGTTTGGCGACTCCCATGAAATGGTCGTTCGACCCCAAATGGGATCCCGACCCACAGGTTGAGAACCACTGCTTAAGAGTGACAGAAAAATAATATAAATTGCTTATGACCCAGGTTTGCTGCAAATCTAGAGAAACAGCAATGCCCTCAGGCTGAAAATGGAATAATTAAAAAGATAAATTTGGAAGGGATCATTTAGTTTTGTTTGGTTTGTACGTTCAGTTCCTGCTCAGTGTATGAATCCATGTAATATACAAGAGCAAAGTTCTTACTGTTGTTTATTTCTTGTGCTTAATAAGTTGAATTAGTGTTTTACAGTGCTAATGATTCACATTTTTAACTATAGAAAATTGACTGATTTCCTTTGAACTTTGGTTGGTTTCACATGTTGCCAAGTAAACTTGGATGCTGTTTTTGGAAACATTTTTGTAAAGATATACAGGTAGCCCTCGAGTTATAAATGGAATGGAGCCTGCCCATTCCATTCGTAACTTGAGGATTCGTAAGAGTGAATCTCGCACCTCGGGTGCGATCGCTCCCTGCTTCCGCCCACACATTCGCTAATTGAATGCATGGGTGAATGCACGGGGGGGGGGGTTATCGCGTTTAAGTTGGAACAAGCACTAAGTGAATGCTCGTAACTTGGGGATTACCTGTATTACAAAGACATATTTGTAAAGGAGAGGGAGAACTGATAAAACTATATATTATATTTCAAGCTACTCTGGTTATCTGATGATTCAGTTTAATGGAAACATTTTAATCACAATTGGCAGCAAAACCTACCAAGCCGACGTCCAGAACTACCAATGGCAAAGCAGAGAGTAGCAGTAGTAGCAGCAGTGATGAGACGAATAGTGAGGATTCCAGCTCTGAAGAGAATCAGCCTGTCAAAGTAAGTGATGAGTCCTTGGTAGGACAACTAGTCATTATTTATTTTTGGTGAAGATAGAAAACTAAATATCTTTCTACTTGGAAAACTTGTCAAGTATGTAAACTGCCAATAGTTATTTGAAATTGCGGTGTCTTTAAATTGGCTAATATATAAATAAAAACTCCTACATTTCTAGGATGGCATTTTAATCGTCTATGTCATTGATGGCGAACCTATGGCACAGGTGCCAGAGGCGGCACTCAGCCCTCTCTGTGGGCACGCACACCGTCGCCCCAGTCCTAGGCCTCCAGCTGGGTTTTATAAAACCTTTTCACTTTAGGCCTCCACCACCGTGTACAAAAAAAAAAAAAGGTTCAATCAATCAGTCAATTTCAACTTCTCGTGGGAAAAAAAAAAGATCTCACACAGTTGGAATTGATTGATTGAACTTTTTAGTCCCACCCAGTCTGCTGTTACCACCACAGCCACGCCCACCCAATGGGCCACACCCAGCCAATGGGCCACACCCACCCGGCACCCGACAATGCATACGTGGGTTTTGGGTTGCAGTTTGGGCACTCGGTCTCTAAAAGGTTTGCCATCACTGACTTAGGTAGTACTTTGAGTTTCCATCAGCAGTTAATTGTGGCCTGTGAAGTTAATAGTAGTTAATAGCAGAGAACACTGTGCAAGAAAGTGAGATGTCTGCTTAATGGATTCTAAAATTAATCAGGCAGGCAGGAAGAGGAAATGGTTAGGATTAACCTAAAATTAATTTCAGCAGCAATTAAGGAAGAATTCTGAAAACACTCTTAGGCAACGGGGAACTGCTGATTCCTAATCTTATCGTGTACCCTGATGTCTTAACAGTTTTCCGTTTCTCTCTTTTGGCATTTGTATATAAGCAGTGCCTGACGGAATGATGATCATCTTCAAAATGGTATTTGTTCGATTGATGTTGGGGCATCTTCAGTTTTCATTTTGTTTTGTTTGTAAGGGTAAGCTGAAGAAACTTCCACAGCACAAAAACAACACTGCCCAGCCACTTCCAGTCAAAAACAAGCCTGGGAAGAAGAGCAGCAGTGAGTTTTCTTCTTCTTCTTCTGATGATGATGATTCAGAACATGAAAAACTAGCCCCAAAGCCCAAGCGTGGTGAGTTATTAAAAGAAGCTGGCTTCTTAATTTAGATGAAGATCTAGATCAGTACCGCTAGAAAGCTGGGGATTGGACAAAAGATAAAGAATACGTGCAAAAGTAAATGACATGAGTACCGTATTTTCTGGCGTATAAGATGACCCCCAACTTCGGAGCCGATTTGCATGCTTAGAAAGTCGTCTTATACGCCGGAAACTACCGTAATTTCCGGCGTATAAGAAGACTTGGCGTATAAGACGACCCCCGACTTTGGAGCTGATTTGCATGCTTTAGAAAGTCGTCTTATACGCCAGAAAATACGGTATATGTTAATTTCTGGCAATACATGTTCCCCTTTAAATATATAAACCAGATTTTATGAAAACCTGGATAAAAAGAATGAAAAGCTAGGAGCTTACCTGTTGCTGTACTGTTGTTGTTGTTTTCCTTAATATTCTCTTCTGCTTGCTCCGAGGAGGACCTCTGAGCAAGCAAAATAGTCTACAAGTAGTAGTAGAGAGCAATAAGCCAACAGCTCCAGCTCAACAACAAAGGGCTGCTGGCCAGCCACCTCCCCAACTGGCAGTTGCTGTTGCCCAGCCCTAGGCTTTCCCTTATGGAGTGGGGTAGCCACAACCGTATTAGGTTGCCCTGGGACCTCCGACCCCCCCGCCAATCAGGGTGACATTCGATGGCAGCCTGGGAAAACTGCCATTTTTGCTAAATTGGGTCTGGACACACCTAGATCGCTATCCAACAGTACCTAAAAATCAACTGAATATTGAATATTATGGATGTTAGAGATTAAAATTGGAATATTGTAATTAGAAATGTAAGAATTAGGTAAAATTTAAAAACAGGATATGGATATGTGTAAACAAAAAATAGATTGACAAATGTTTTAATCGAGCTTGCTATGGTTAGAAACTTACTAGTTTAAAAATGTTACATCAAATGTTAACAGGAAATAGAAAAGGAATTTTTGACAATGTAACCTGAGACATGTACTAAAAATGCTGTCACTGAACTATTGATTACCCGGTCACCATGTTGCTTTCTATGTGGATGTTAAATTGGAAAATTAATAAAATTTGTTATAAAAAAACCAACTTTGTTTTCTAAATTGTTTTTCATTTTCTGAAACAATGCATTGATAAATATAGATAAATGTGAACAATTTCATCGGTAGATATACTTTTTATATTTTATATTGCTACATTCCGCATGTGTGTGTGCAGGTAGGTGTAATACATACAAATGCACACACGTATAGGATGTAGCAATTGACAGGCTAATCCCAAATTGTTTTTTCCAGAGAAAATGTTAGAAAATGGGCTCAAGAATGTACAGAGGTCATTCCTCAAATGAATAAGAAAGTGTTTAGAAGAGAATGGCAGCTAATTGGAACATATAATGAAATTTATGTAATGATATCACCTACGAGATCTATGAGACCTAACCTGGTTTATCCTATATATGTTTGTGTGTGTGGGGCTGACCTTCTCTCCCTCCCTCCCTGCTGTCTGTCATCGTAGGAGAGTACTCTGCTGTGCCACCCCCTTTAGCCATAGAAGCAACGAAAGGCAAAGCACACCCCACTAAAAAGACCTCTAAGAAGAAGGGAGAAGATAGTAAGAAAAAAGAGCAAGCAAAGAAACCGTCAAGTAAGTTTCACAAATGACTTGTACACAAAGCTGAGTAGATGTGCATATTTAAAGAGATCCTTTCAGATATATTCTTCTTGGTTTTTGACAAGAGTTTAACGTATGGGAGAGAACTATAGTCCTACGGTAAATAAGTTCTTTTTAATGAAGAAAATTTTCCTTCATTTATAGAAGGAATTTCAAATATAGGAAAGGATGCGCTGTTGTCCATCAGACAGACAGAAGGAAACATCCCATCCCTGCGATTGATGTAAGGAAGAAGAAAGGTTTTTTAGGCTCAGGAAAACGATTATCAGACAATATCTGACAGACTCAGTTTGGAATGCTTGCATATACCCTAAATACCTTTTTCCCGAAAGTAAGGCCTACCCCGAAAATAAGCCTGAGCTTGATTTTTGGGGGGTGGGCCTAATATAAGCCCTTCCCCGAAAATAAGCCCTAGTTTTGGGGCAAAGCACACACTTAAAAATCAAGCTAGGGTAGGGGTGGGGTATGGATCTGCCCTATGCGCCTCACTTATCTCACAGCCATGCCTTCCCTCACTGGCCCACTTCTGAGGTGTCTTTTGCAGCCAGGCCTGCATTTCTCAGCCAGGCCTTTCTAGAAGGCCCCTACAGCCGAGAACTGAGCTATAGATTCTATCCATAGCTTGGTTCTGCAAGACTTTTGCAGTCGAGGACCAAGCTCGGCACTCGGCAACATAGGCCTTCCAGAAAGGCCTGACTACAAAATGCAGGCCGGAATGCAGCTGAAGAATGAAGCTGCTCCTTTAGCCCCAGAAGAAGTGGACCGGCTGGGCTGGGCTGTCTGTGCCAGAGGTGAATAAGACAACCCCCGAAAACAAGATCTGTGCCTCTTTTGGAGGCAATAATAACAATAATAATAATAATCAACAATTGTCGATAAAAAAGACAAAAAGTCTGGATAGTGGACGTGGCTGTGCCTGGAGACAGCAGAATAGACGAGAAAGAGCTGGAGAAGGTGACAAAATACAAAGACCTACAAATAGAAATAGAAAGACTGTGGCAAAAGCAAGCAAGGGTAGTACCAATAGTAATAGGCTCCTTGGGTGCAATCCCAAAACAACTGGAGCACCACTTGAACACCATTGGCATTGACAAATTTGCCATTAGTCAATTGCAAAAGGCGGCCTTACTAGGAACTTCCATCCTGCGACGATACCTGTAATACCATCAAACATCCACATCTGTCTATCCCAGGTCCTTGGGAAGGACTCGATAGGTAGACAAAAATGCCAAATCCAGTTTGAACATCTGGTTGACTGTGCGATGATCAATAATAATAATAATAATAATACCCAGTCTTATTTTCAGGGAAACACGGGTATGTCATTTATTAGCCATTTGCAGGTTGAGATTGGGCATTAGTAAGGCAAAGAAATATCATGGTTAACACGGGTCTGGGCAGGGGTCTTGGTTATTAAGTTGGCTGATTTGGGCAGTTCCATGCACTATGTCAGAAGACATTGTAGGGTAATTGAAGCAGTTAGACCACCTCAAGTCAGGTCTCCCAAACCAACCTTCATCAGTCAGGAATTGGAATTTCCAAATCACAATTGCAGGCTATTAATCATGTTCTGACTGCCCTCATTTGGCTGAGGTTTGCTTTTGACTTAGCAAGTGGTGAGAACAGTGCCTTTGTGGTGTGCAAATCATGGGTTTACACTGCATTACTATAAATGTATCTCCGTGTTTTTCTTTTTTGTGTATCTGAATTTCCCCCAAGTCATTTTTGCCACAACATGACAATATACATTGTCAAAAGTATGGTAGGTTATTAAAACAAGCTTTTAATATTTAATGCATCTCTCAAAATAAAAATCTGTTTATTATTTACAGTTATTTATGCGTCCTGCAGCCCTCAGCCATTGGGAGAAATTCACCTGCAATAACATTCTCTATTTTTGTTTAATGTTTGAACTAAGCCACCATGGTTTAATTCAACAGATCATAGTTAAAGTAGGCTTAACACCCTTTGTGAATCCAATCTTCTTCTCTTATCATCTCATGCAAAAGAGACAAATTCTCATCAGGGTCATCTTTCTGGATGGATAATGTTTGTATAATTTAATTAGTATATATTTTCATCTATTTTATCAATTTTCACGTCTGGATTGGTACATTGTTAATGGTCATAAAAAGATATTTTGCATTAACAACACATGGACCTTAAATGTTATAGTAAACGTAGCATAAACAGTACAGATAGTTTTTATTCAATCTATAAAAAACTATTTGCAGTTATTTCTGCTGAAGACAACTATAGTTTTAGATTGCAGTAATAGATGTAGATGTTCCTACATGATCCCAGCTTGACAGCATATTTATAAGCTATTATCTTGGAATTGTCACAGGGAATATAGTAAAACCTTTATATATTTTTGTCTCAAGCTGAAGGGTCTGTGGTTAAAAAAGCATCTGCCTCCAAATCTCTTCCTGTTCATATCCAAAAAGGACATAATTCTTCGGAGAGTGATTCAGGTGAGTACCCTGACATGTAATATGTGATCTCTCTTTTTAGGGAGTTATATCGTGCTGAATGTTACAAGTCAGGGCTTTTCAACCTTTTCACCCATTGTACCACTTTTAATATATGGCAACATTCAAGTATCAGTCGCCTAGCAAGGTGTCAAAATTTGACCCCCCCCCAAAAAAGGGAAAAAAAGTGATGAAGTACAGGTAGTCCTCGACTTACAACAGTTCGCTTAGTGACTGTTCGAAGTTACAATGGCACTGAAAAAAGTGCCCCTCAAGGCACAGCCGAGCAAGACACCTGTCTGCCCACCCAGCGGCGCTCTTCCTCCTGTCCGAGGTGTCCATTGTTGTGAGCATTTCTGTTGAGGATTGGCAGCAGGGGTGGGGTGGGGGGTGTTTGCTTTTTATTCCCCCCGTCTGCTGGGTGGTTGCAGCAGGTTTTGGTCACTTCACATGACCCTGGGACACTGTGACTGTCATAAATATGAATCAGTTGCCAAGCATCTGAATGTAAATCACAAGACCCTGAAGATGCTGCAACATTCCAGCTGATCGGCGCTTCTTCTGGCCTCACCAGAAGCGGCAGGATCAGCGCCGAGCTCCAGCTGGAGCCTGTCGCTGATCCTGGGCTTCCGCTGAGCCCTGACAGCCCTGCAGCTCCAGCCGTCTCTCGCTCAGGCTTGTGCGGTGCTGCCACCGGTTCAGCTCATTCCCCTCCCCCACTACCCCTTTTCTAGGATGGTCACGTACTACCTGCCAGATGCCAATGTACACAGATGGTACCCGTACCACTGGTTGAAAAGCCCTGTTATAAACAACCAAATACAAAATGCTGTCAGTACTATATAATCTACCAGCATTTTTGAGGAAAAATTAAATGTGCCAGTACAAATGAAAGCTGTGTGTGTTTTATTTAGATTCTAGCTCTGAAGAAGAAGAAAAGAAAGTTTTGGTCAAATGCTCTGCCAAAGCCATTTCAGCAAACGGTGCTGCTAAATCCGTTCCATCCAAGAAAGCGAGCAGCTCCTCTGATTCCTCAGGTACCGTGGATAATGTGGTAAATCAGTTGTTTTCTGTTTTATTATCTTGTATTATTTCATTGAAGAGCAGGTATTTTGTTCAACCTTCAGTTGCTTATTGACAGAAATACAACACAAAAAATCTACAATAATATTTCTCTTACATGACATGCTTGCACTACCAAAATTTAAATTTAAAATACATCTGTTATGATTCCGTGCCAGCCTGTGATCCGAGTAGTTGAATCTGGGGAATCAGAGGGGGGGGGGGCTAGAGAGCCATCAGAGTCGGAAGGAGGCTCTGATGAGCTGCAGGACTTACAGACTGATAAGGAGGCTGGTCTTTCCACTCGTGATCGAGCTGAGAGCCAGCTGTCCTGGGAAGCTGAGTCAGACTCGGAGGAAGCACAGCTGGAAGACCTCAGAGACGCTCGTAAACGTAGGCAAGTCACATGAGTAGGACAGAGGGAGGCAATGGGGCAACTCCAGGGGAAGAGGAGAAAGCAATGAGAAGCCATGCCTTGGGGGCTGCGTAACAAAAAGGGAATGTGTAGGCAGGGCTGGTTGCTGGAGGTAACCGTTTGCAAAGGACTTCAGAGTCGAGAGATCATGATCTGTTTATTTTGCTTGTGAGTTATTTCCTGTTTGACTCGTGCTCCGTGTTGCTTTCGGACAAGGTCTCCATTGGAAAAGTGTTCTCTTGCTTTATGTTTTCTGGGGCAATTATCAAATAAAAAGGGGTTTATTTTCCAGTGTACTGTTAAAAGAGGGGTTGTCTTTGTGAAATAACAAGGACGTACGTAGGCTGGGACAGAACAACATCATAAGTAAGCAATAAAGAATTATGAATTGTTAAAACAAGGTACTTAGGTAGAGGTTTGTCCTCCGAGCTTGCTGTTTGTTCCCAGATGTTTCATTATCAAATTATGTAACATCTTTGGGGGGGGGGGAAGTGGCTTGTTCATTTTTATAGGTCCTGAGTGGTCAGTTATCTTGTGACTGGTTGAATCATAAGACTGATTGAGTCACAAGACAGAATCACAAGATTGGTCTGGCCTTGTGACTTCTGACTGGTTGCTGTGAGGTATGAAATTCTACTGATGAGGGGTTGATTGATCCTGTCGTCAGTTGGTGGTTCGGATGGTCTGCTTACTTATTGGTTCATATACTGGTTCTAAGTCAATAGGTTTGTTGATGGATCCGTTAGTACAGTGTTTCCCAAACTTGACAATTTTAAGGCATGAGGACTTCAACTCCCAGAATTCCACAGCCAGCAACGCTGGCTGTGGAATTCTGGGAGTTGAAGTCCACATGCCTTAAAATTGTCAAGTTTGGGAAACACTGCATTAGTAGAATGCCAGGCTTTGAAAAACTCATGTGCCTGAAGGGTTTTGGCGTGGTCAATAACTTCAGCTTTGTCCCAATCAAAACAGGTATTGCTTGTTGTCTGTGTGACTGGCGATTAGAGACTTTATGTCATGATATTTAACACCCAGCTGGCGTTCATGGATTCTGGGTTTTAACTGTCATCTTGTCTGCCCAACACAGAACTGGTTGCAATCGTTGCAACTGATTCTGTATATTATATTGGTGCTGTCTTCCTTCCGTGTTCTGATTTTGATCTTGATAAGTTCCTGTCTGAGTGTAAATGTGGGTTTGTGGGCTATTGTTATTCCTAGGAGTTGCGGTAGCCTGGCAGCCACTTCTGATGTGCCTTTGATGTATACGACAGGACCTGTTTCTGTGCTGCGCTTTTCTATGTGGCTTTCTGGGGTTTGGATGTTCTACATCGCAGTATGAAATTCCTGGCCGTTGTGGAGAAAAACACTGAAGAGGTATTTCTCCTCTGCTTCTTAGGGATTTGGTGCTGTAGTGTGTTCTGGCTCTCTTGAAGAGGGTCTGGACACAGTTTCTTTTATGTGTTGTAGGGTTGAGAATTTGGTTCATGTGTGTGGATTTCTGGTGTACACAGCTTATCATTTCCCCTTTCTTATGTCTCTTTATGTCCATGTTGAGGAAGCAGAGATGTTCATTCTTTTCTTCCTTGCATATAAAGCTGATGCCAGTGAACATGTTGTTGAGCAGGCAATATGTGTCTCCTAGTTTGGATCGTTTGACGATTGATGAATGTGTCGTCCATGTAGCGGACCCAAAGTGTAGGTTGGATGGTTGGCAGGACAGCGCATTCGAATTTCTGCAAGACTGCCTCTGCAATCTGGCCGGATATGGGTGATCCCATGGGTGTGCCTTGTATCTGCTTGTAGATCTTACCATTATACCTGACCTGTGTTGTCAGGCACACCTGTAGACAGGAGTGTTTTCTGGGGACGTTTTTGTCTTCTGTGAGCAGGTTGTGGATGTTTACTTGGCCAGGTTGATGTTGATGGAGGTGAATAGAGCAGTGGCATTGAAAGAGGCTATCATTTCTTCAGCGTTTATTTTGATGTTTTTGATTAGTTGAAGGAATTGTTCATATTCACGGGAAAGCATTGAGCTATCAATCGAGGTGGCAAAGTTTTCTTTGTAGTGGTTTCGCTAATTTGTAGGTCAGTGCTTCAGGGAGTGCTGCGATGTCTTTGTACACTTTGGGGAGTCTGTAGAACTTTGGTATCATAGAGTCCTGTAGTTGTAGGTATTTCTTTATGTGGAAGTTATTTGCTTTGTTTTTTCCATCTTCATCAAGGTGCTTTATATTTTGTTTTCCAATTGTTTCGTGAGGATAGTTTGATAGGTGCTGGTGTCATGTAGTAGGTCCTTGGTTTTGTTGACATAGTCAGTTTTGTCTATTACGATGGTGAGTCTGTCTTTGTCCGCTGGCAGGTTTTTCAGGTTTTTAGTGCTTGCCTTTCCTGTTGGTGGAGGGTCCTGTTGTGTCTGTTCCTCTGTCTGATGTCTTCCTGCGTCTCGTGATCGAAGTTGTTGGTTTTTAGCATGGATTCTAGGTTAGCTAGGAAGTCGACCAGGTCCGCGTTTTTGTGATTGAAATTGAGGCCATGTGTGAGTACGGCTTTTTCCTCTTTTGATAGCAATCTGTTGCATAGGTTCTTGATCCATGTGTCAGAGTTGTCGTCTTGTGCTATGGGGTGATCTTGGCATGTTTCTTTTGCAGGTTGTCGCGGTTTGGGGTCTGGAGGGTTGGTTTTGTTCAGGGTAGGCCACCTTGGCTCTTTTATGACTTGTGGACTTCAACTCCCAGAATTCCTGAGCCAGCCATGCTGAGGGGAAAGGGAGAGGTTTCCAAGCTGAGCCATGCTGGCTCATGAATTCTGGGAGTTGAAGTCCACAAGTCATAAAGGGGCCAAAGTTTCCCCCTGCTGGCTCAGGATTTCTGGGAGTTGAAGTCCACGAGTCATAAAAGAGCCAAGGTTGGATATTCTATTGATGGCATGTTCTAACTTGTCTGCGAGATCTTGTCTAATTGTGGTGAGGCATTTGGATTTGGTTTGTTGATGGTGCATTGGTATTTTATTAGGCAGTAGTGTATGTCAGTGATCATGAACTTGAGCATTTTGCATCCAGGTTCCATGCTTCTGGGTGGTTAATGAGTGGTCTGTAATGCACGCTTTTTGGCAGCGATTTCTTGCAGAGATATTTGTTGAGGAAGCGTAGTAGTTTGTGGGTCGACAATTGTCTCATGGCGAAAGTCTCCCAGTGGTGAGCAAGTTTAAGGGGTTTTTGCCCGTGCAGTTTAGAAATTGTAGAGAATATTCGTAGTTCAGGTTGTAGATTTTGGCCGAGGTTTGTCCTCCAAGCTTTCTACCAATAGGTCCATCAGTAAACACATCGACTTAGAACAGGGCTTTTCAACCGGTGGTACGCGTACCACTGGTGGTACATCGGCACCTGGCAGGTGGTACACTTACGATGGGTTGAAAAGTATAGTATAAGAAAAAGTATAAAAGTGTAAAAGACCGGTTCTTACTTTCGGGGAAACACGGTACTTAATTGCTGTCAACAATTTCTCTACTGTCCTGAAGCCCAGAAATAAAACACCTGCTTTCCTTCTGAAAGGTAGGAAGGAATCCGTTTTTTAGATCAGATGCATGTGACTTATTTGGGTTTTCATACTCCAAATTAGTCAAAGATGCTTATATTCTTGTAACCATCTTCTTTTCTAGACGCCCTCACCTGAAAAAATAATCAGGTACTGTGCTTGATTTTCTCTATGTTCAAAATACTGAGATTGTACTTTTGACAGTATCAGTTTATTGTTCTGAACCTGCACTTTCCTCCACCAAAAAATATCTAAACTTTAAAAATACTGAGGATAAGATGCAGCGCAATCAGATTAGTTTGTCTCTTGCTGTTTTTTCTTCCTAGATTCTGATAGTTCTGACAGTGTTCCTGAGAAATGCGCAGTTAAGACAAGCATAAAGAAAGGGAAAAAACCTCCCGCAGTGCCAGCAAAGAAAGTGGAAAGTATCGTTCAAGATAAGACTGTTCATAAAAAAAAAGGCACAAAGGCTGTCAAAACAGCGCCCAAATCCAGCACCCCTGTCTCTAAACCAAAGAGTTCTGAGTCAAGCAGCTCAAGCAGTGAAGAAGAGACTCAGCCAACCCAGAAAGCAGCTAGCAAACTCTCAGGGCCTAGCAGTTTGGTCAACAGCAAGCAAAGCCCAGCTGAGAGCAGAACCTCTTCCGAGAGTTCCTCTGATGAACAGTTTAAAGTATCTGAACGAAGAGAAAGAAAGAGAGAACAAAATAATTGCAAAGCAGCAAAAAAAGCGCTAAAACCCTCAGCCAACTTGGTGGGCAAAACACCTGCATCAAAGACTTCAACATCTGAAGCGCTGAATACGGCAAACAGTAGTAGTTCTGATGAAGAGGCCACAAAAGAAGGTTAGTCATTTTTCATGCGGGAGGTATTAAGTAGAATGGAGCTAGTTTGGAAATAACACTTGAGTCAAATACCATAAAATAAAGGGGAAAAAATGTGATGGAATGTGCACCTGGAGAATCAGTGGGTAAGAGTTTTGTCAACATAGAGCAGACATGTCAAACACAAGGCCCAGGGGCTGGATGCGGCCCGCGAAGTGGTTTCATGTGGCCCGTGAAGCCATCCTGGAAACAGTGAGGGAACGGCCTCTACTGCCTTGGCCCTGGTCCAGGCCGGCCGGGAGCCAATGTACAATTTTGTGGTGGCCATCTATGCTGAAATGCATTCAGTCTTAGCTCCACAAGGCCGTCTGGAAACTGCAAGGAACCAACCCCTGCTGCGTAGGCCCCATCCCCTGGGTGCATGCTGGGGAGGTGTCACCCTTTTGTGAGGAATGAAGAAATGCACCATCGTCTGGAAGTGGCCAGCAAATGGCCTTCACCTACTTCACATATCCGGCTTGATGGGCTCTGCCCTGGTCCCGCCCCCTTTTGCCAGAGACCCTCAGATCTGTCCCACTCCTGCCCAGGCCCCCACAGGCACCCTTGATGCAAATGATGTAGAGTTGGCCACGCCCACCCAGTAGGCCACACCTACTCCATCCACGCCCACCCAGTAGGTCGCATCCCCCCTGGCCACACACCCCCGGCCCCCCGAGGGCAACCACAATGCTGATGTGGCCCTCAATGAAATTGAGTTTGACACCCCTGACATATAGCTTTCCCAGAGAGAGGCATGGAAGTCCAAAACTGGATGGGTAGAAGGGAAGAGGGTCAGGGTAATCACACCTAGAATCTCTCAAAATGGATCTAGTAGATTAGAAGGTTATAGCTTTAGTATGGCAAGCTTCTGCTTGTTAGGGGTAAGCAGTTGAAGGATTGGACTCATTTGGATTTTGCTGTGTCATCTTTGGGCTTGATTTAATATGATAGGTGAACATCATCCCTGTCTGTCAAAGAAGACTTTTTGTAGTAGCTCACAGCATGCCACAGCATCATTTTAAGCATAGCTTAATCATGCTTTGGCTTAGACAGCATCAAGTTATAAACCATACTGAATTATTTTGCTTAGCATGTTGTATGCATCCAGACATTGGGTGAATCAGTTCCTACTGATCAGAGATATTTTAAATAACCATATCATACCTGAATTTATAGCACGAATGAAACTCTTTCTTTCCTGCCCCACTTAACCTGTTTATTGATTAGACTGCTACTTATTTAGGATGAGATGATCTTGTAGAAGCTTACTCTTCCTGTAAAATGTAGCAGGCTTATCCCCAAAAAAGCGGAAAAGGAAAAATGAACAAGAGTTGGAGACACCGGATATCAAGAAGATGAAAGCCAGAAGTCCTCATACATTCCCAAAATCAAAGCAGGTAAGGATTGAGAAAAAGAACTTTATGATTTTACTTTATTAAACTTATTGGCCGCCCATCTTACTACAGGTAACTCTTTCCTTCATAACTGCAAAAGCTGAATCTGAATTGTGTTTCACATGATTTTTTTGAAAGGAGGTGAGATATTATGAAATGGTCATGGGTGATCTTATGTTAGTTCTCATGTTTGGAGACTAAAAACAATTTCTCAGCTAGAGAAACTCCTAAATTGCCATTTTGAAGGATTTGGCCAGAAATCAGATATATCATAGGTGAGTAATCCTCAAGTTACAATTTCAGTTGGGACGGGATTGCTGTTGCTAAGTGATGAGGCTTTGAAGCATGACATCATGTGACAATATCATTTAGGGATGTCTTGCAGTCCCACTTATCACAATCCAAGATGCATGAGTTATTAAGTGGAGGGAACCCAGGTAATTAATAATGGGGGGGGAGGCTCAACACAGGCCACACGTGAGTTTGGGGGAGGAGATACTCGATGCTGAGCATAGAGTGCATGTGATTACAAGGAGGCCAAGAAAAAAAAGCCACTGGGTTGCACGCATTCTTGTATCCAAGTGCAGAGAGGCCCAGGAAAGGTGTGGAATGAGTGCAATTGCAGGGAGACTGTGGAAAGACGATGCAGGGTACATGAGTGTGTGTGGGAGAGATTGCAGGGAAGCCAAGTAAAGCGGGCACATGGGATATGTGCATGTGTGCGCCATGGAAATAGGATGTGGGTTGTGTGCATCTTCTTCTTCTTGTGCCATATCTGTTATCAGATGTTGGCGATCATGTTGGCGATCCTGTTTTTATCAGCAGCCGCACGAAAAAGTGCTGCTGAGTTTTGTCCAAACCAGTCCCTTAGATTTTGAAGCCACGATGTTCTTCTTCTGCCTGGACCTCGTTTGCCTTCAATCTTTCCCTGGAGGATTAACTGGAGTATGCCGTATTTTTCTGGGTGTCGCATCACATGCCCGAAATATTCTAATTTTCATTTTTTAATTGTTGGCTTATCACCTCATTTCTGATCTTGTCCACCCAGCTTCTACGTAACAGCTGCCTACAAATCCACATTTCAAATGCTTCTAGTCTCTTCAGGTGGCCTTCTGTCAGGGACCAACTCTCTACTCCACAGAGCAGGATAGAAAAAAATATAGCATCTGACACGCCTGATTTTCAGTTTTAGGCTTATGTCGTGACTGCAGAAGACCTTTTTCATTCTGAAGAATGCTGTTCGATCTTTCTCTATCCTCGTCTTTACTTCAGTGGTCATGTCCCAGCTTTCATGTAGATGTTGTGTGCATGCATGGATGTAATTGCAAGGAGGCCGGGGGGGGGGGGGAAAGAGTGTGGGTTGTGTGCAAGTGAAGTGGGCAAGGAGAGCCACAATGCCTGTGTGTGAAGAAAAGTTGGGTAGGCACTTAGCCCAATGGCTTTGAACTTCCTTTGCTGGCTTCCTATTGACTTTGCCTTTGCTTGGAGAAAGCCAGCAGGGAAGGGCATGGATTGTGATCCTGGGATGCCACAGTTGACCGTAAGGGCAGGGTTGTTTTGTTCATGTGACCATGGGGATGCTGAAGTGGCAAGAACTTTGAGGACTGGTCATAAATCCCTTTTGTTTAGCAACCACCCCCTCAGTAGAATGACAAATCCATATGAAAAACAGAATGGTGACGTCATGAGGACTATCTGTATCTCTTTTTCTTCTGCAGCAATCCAGTCCTTTTCGCAGAATAAGATCAGAAGAAATAGAAATAGATATGCGAGTAGCAAACAATTCCTTCGATGCCAAGGTAGGGATAAGCATTCTTCATGTAATACTCTCTACAAAATAGATATTACCTGGACAACCTATAACAAAATTGAAGTATTTGCCATTTGTTTGTTTGTTTGTTTTTTTGTGAAGTATACTCATAGACTCTGGACAGCTTACAAATGCAAAGTGGTTAAAAACCATTTATGCTCAATGTTTTGTGACTAATGATCATCAATTTTCTCATCTTTCCCAGAAAGGAGCTATGGGTGACTGGGGTGAAAAAGCAAATGATGTTCTGAGATTTACAAAAGGTAAATCCTTCCGACATGAGAAGACGAAGAAGAAAAGGGGAAGTTATTGTGGTGGCACTATCTCTACACAGATAAACTCCATCAAATTTGAAAGTGATTAAACTTTGGAAGGGGATTCCAATTAAACTCAAAAGTTTCTAACTTTGCATCATTTTATGTTACAGCACACCTGATAAGGTGATAAATAAACATACCTTATTTTTAATTCTTATTCTTCCTCTGATGCTCATATATATGGCAGGGATCAGCCGTCTCTTGCTGTAAGCGTCTGCCTCCACTAGGTCTCCCAAGAAAGCTGAACTCTTGAAACAGGCATTGTTTCAAAAGGAAATTTTATTGAGAGTTAATGATAGCACTAGAACAGGGGTCGGCAACCTTAAACACTCAAAGAGCCACTTGGACCCGTTTCCCAGAAAAAACACTGGGAGCCGCAAAACTTGTGCGTGCACAAGGGGGGGGGAGCTTGAAGAGTTTAATTAAAAAGAAATAGAGGCTGCTGTGCATGAGTTCTCTCTCTTTTTCTGTCCCTCCCTCCCTCTCTTTGTCTCCCTCTTTCTCTCCCCCTCTCCGATCTTCTGCTCACCTGGCAAGCTGGTTTCATGCTGTTCTCCGACAAGCTGACACACATTCTTATTGGGCTGACTCTCACCTGCCCTTGGTCTGCCAGTCCTCTTCCCCCACTGTGTGTGTGTGTGTGTGTGTGTGTGTGTGAGAGAGAGAGAGAGAGAGAGCGAGCTGCTGCTTCCTGCTTCGACGCAGCAAAGGCAGGAGCCCCGCCCAATAAGCTTGTCAGCTTGTCCGAGAACAGCGTGAGGCCACTCTTTTACACACACACACACACACACACAGAGAGAGAGAGAGAGAGAGAGAGAGAGAGAAAGAGAGAGAGAGAGAGAAGTGCAAATGCCTCCCTCTCTCTCTCTCTCTCTCTCTCTCTGCAAATGATGGAGGAGGCTGGGAGCCACAGGAGAAGGCTCAAAGAGCCACTTGTGGCTCCAGAGCCGTGGGTTGCCGGCCCATGCACTAGAACAAAGCAACGTCTGAAGATTCCACGTGCGGAAGGTTACATCAAAATGCCCATTCATGGCTCCTCCCCCCAGTGTCCAACAGTCTGTTTGAATTCCAGCCGATCCATAGGTGCTATGATGTTTGAGAACCTGCAATTTAGTGTTCATCTCAAGTTCTCTCTCAGTTTCGGTTCCCAACGGTCCCAGGCTCCACTGTCTGGACATAAGGCAGATGTCTTTAGGCCACATTCCTTTCTTACGGAGGGAGGGCGACTCGAGTAATCAGAGCAAATACATCCCCAGCAAGCAGGCAAGCAGCCCCCCTCCCACCAGTATGGCAGACCCTGAAAATGATTACATAAACAACTTAGATAATAAAATAATAAAATGCAAGCAAGTCAAATTAGAGGGATCTGACATGCACCACCCCCTCAGTAGAATGACAAATCCATATGAAAAACAGAAAGAGGGAAGGGGAAAAGAGGAATACATACACATCAGTCAGGCTTATCAGGATAACGAGCATGAAAATGCTTAAGTAGTCTAGGGGCTTTAACGTTTCTTATAAAACCACTCGTTCTGTGAGGCGGGAAGGTCCTTCCAAGCCACGAAATACTGAGTAGAGCCATAGTGTTTGCGAGACTCTAAAATGTCCTTAATTTCAAAATGTTCACCCTCTACCATAATGGGTGGCGGAGGAGGAATGGCCGCAGGCCTAAGTGTGAATGTAATTTCAGGCTTCAACTGCAATGGAAAACTGGGTGGATTTGTCTTAGACTTTCAGGGAGGTCTAGCTCAATTATGACCGGATTGATTTTGCACTTAATAGGAAAGGGACCTATGTATTTTGGCCCTAATTTTTTAGAAGGCTGTAATAATTATAGAAATTTGGTGGAAAGGTAAACTTTGTCCCCTATATGAAAAGGCTTTGGTTCCATCCATTTTTTATCTGCCTGAGCTTTATAGACTGCCTTGGTTTTATCCAGAGCCTTCTTGAGAATAGGCCAAATGTTTTGTAATTGATGTACCCAATCTTTAAGAGAAGGAATGGCAGGCTTGTTAGCAGGCAATTCTGGCATAGGGTTGAAAGTTTGTCCATTAGCTACTTGAAAGGGGGTAAAACCAGTGCTGGAATGCACTGTGTTGTTATAGGCTACTTCAGCAAATGGTAGCAGGTCAGTCCAATTATCCTGCTGATAATTAATAAAACAATGTAGATACTGTTGTAGAACAGAGTTTGTTCGTTCTGTCTCCCCATTTGTTTGAAGATGATGACAGTCCCTGATCAGAACCTAAAAGATCCAAAAAGGCTCTCCAGAACTTAGAAGTGAATTGGACACCCCTGTCTGAAATTATGCGTTGTGGGGCTCCGTGTAGCTGATAAATATGCTGCACAAACAATTTAGCCAACATTTTTGCAGTCAGGATCTTTTGACATGAGATGAAATGGGCTTGTTTTGAAAATAAGTCGGTAACGACCCAAATGACACTGTTTCCGGCAGTTCCACAATAAAATCCATAGAGATCTCACTCCAGGGTGCTGAAGGGCTTGCGACTGGCTGCAGGAGCCCTGGCATTTTTACTTGCCTCCTTTTAGCTGCCGCACACCTGGCAACATAATTTCAATGTCCTTTTTTAAGGAAGGCCACCAAAATTGTCTTTTTAGTAATTGAAGGGTGTTTATGAACCCGAAATGCCCCAACTTTGAATCGTGACAAGACTGCATAATTTTCAGCTTCAGGGCAGCTGGGACATACAGTTTTCCGCCAACCCATCTTTCACCGAACAAAGGTTTCCATGGCCCCAAAAACCACTCGTCCTTCTCTAGTGCTTTTTTAAATTCTGCCACTGTTGCATTGTCTGGGTGCCCTTAGTCTGCACTCTGGTAGTGACCAGCTGCCAATTGTTGTGGTGAAAACAAAGATTTAACTACCCCTGACTTTACGCTGGTGTATTGCGGCATTCTCAACAAGGCATCTGCCAGGAAATTTTTTCCCTGCTGGCGGAAGACAAGGGATGAACTCGATCGAACATGGGTAAGAGCTACTATTAAGGCCTATCTTGTGGTGATTCATGCGGTGAAGTGTAAATGCTTTTCCACACTATTTGCGTCTGCAGATAACCAATGACCCTCTTTAAGGCAAGCTGTCTCCTAGAGAAGAAGGAGACTGAGGTCCACCTGAAGGGGTGCACTGAGAAATTTGTGGATTTTCTGGAAGACAAAATAGCTCAACTTCATTCCCAGTTAGATGCCAGTGTGGTTGCTGGACTGGCGGAGGCCCGAGGCAGGTTCTTGCACTGTTATCTGGGAAAAGTTTGAACCTGTTGCTCCTATGGGAGTGGACAGGATCCTATGGAGTACGTGCACAAGCATCTGTGTTTTAGACCCATGTCCTTCCTGGCTTATGAAAGCTTCCCCGGAGATGATAGGCAGGTAGACTCTGGCGGTGATTAATGCTCCCCTACAGGAGGGGATAGTCCTCCAGCTCTTTAAGGAGGCTGTGGTCTGCCCTCTTCTCAAGAAGCCATCGCTGGATTCCACCGTTGGATAATTTTCAATCTGTCTCCAATCTTCCCTTTATGGGGAAGGTTGTTGAGAAGGTGGTTGTGATGACCCGGGGCACGGCACAGAGGCAACACAGTCAGCTGACAGTTCAAACCGCCCCTTTATCCCATGTTTCTGGCAAGTCCCAGAGCAAAGTGAAGACACACACCTCCAGCAGCCTCTGACTGCAAGTAGTTCAGCACAAAGCTGTGAGCACAACAGCTGCCAAAACAAGAAATCCAGCAGGGCAAGGGACTAAATCAATGAGTCCAGGAAGCAAATTCAAAGGCAATTAAAGCAAGCAATAAAGCAAGAAATCCAGGAAACGTCCAACATCGGCAACAGCACACAAAACCCTCCATGAATTCAGCGTTTGTTCCTGACAAATGCCCCTCCCCACAGCACTCCTTAAGTCTCAGTCCCCAGGTGTGCCTTGTGATGAGGGGCAGGGCACTCTCCTGAGTAGGCGAGTCAGTCTGCGTTGTTACCTTCTCTACATTCTCCGTGCTTGAGGATCAGGAGGGGGCAAGTCCTTGCTCATTGCCTGAGCTGTCTCTCATGTTCACTGCTTAGCCTCTCTTGGTCATCCTGCCCGTTCCTCCTTGCCTACAAGCCGTCCCAATCCTGAAAGGCCCTGGCCTGCCTCTCCCCATATTCCTCTGAAACCAACTATGCCTTCCCCTCCATCTCCGTCGGCTCCAGTTCCAGCTCATCATCTTCCCCAGAGCCAGGCTACAGTGGGGGCATGACCATAGTTGAGTGGCAGCTCCAGAGGTTTCTAGATGAAATGGATTATCTAGACCCCTACCAGTCAGGATTCAGACCTGGATATGGGAAACGGCATTGGTTGCACTTTTTGATGATCTCTGGTAGGAGCGGGATGGGAGTAGCGCATCCATCCTTGCTTTACTTGACGTCTCAGTGGCTTTTGATACCATCGTCTATGATATCCTGGATGGCTCAGGGGTTGGTAAGGAGGGTCTCTGTGCTGTCCTGGTTCACTTCCTTCCTTTGTGGCCGCTCTCAGTATTAATAAGGCAAGAGATCCAGCCCTCACTCACTGCTTTGCAAGGTTCTGCAGAGCTCGGTACACTCTCTGCGCCTATTCAATATCTACATGAAGCCATTGAGTGAATTCATTTGTCACCATGGACCAAGATATCATCAATATGCTGATGATACTCAGCTGTACATCTGAGCCCATGGTGAGTTAAGTGATGCCGTGGCCTCCCTCTTGCAGTGCCTGGAGGCTGTTAGAGGCTGGATGGATGGGGAGTAATGGGTTGAAACTGAACCATGGCAAGACTGAGTGGCTTTACATGGGACTGCCCCTGAAAAGCATCTGAAAGCTCCAATTGGTGCAAAATGCAGCAGCCCACATGGTTTTGTGCAGACCTTGGTGTACACATGTATCACCTCTCCTGTGGGAGCTGTATTGGCTGCCAATTTGCTTCTGGGTACAATTCAAGGTGCTGGCTGTCACCTTTAAAGCCCTTTATGGCTTGGAACCAGGTTATCTGAGAGACCATCTCTTGCCGGTTACATCTACTGACCCACTAGAGCAGGGAGGCAAGGAGTGTTATGGGTCCTGTCCCCTAGGGAGATACATCTGGTGGGACCCAGAAAAAGGGCCTTCTCCGTGGTGGCTCCCTCTCTCTGGAACATCATCCATCTGGAAATTAGACTGGCCCCCACTCGAACACTCTCAGAAGGCCCTGAAGACATGGTTCTGCCAGTGGGCCTGGGGAACCCAGAATGGGATGGAGCCCATTGGTTAGTATGACTGTGTTGTTGCCATGGTGGAAGGGTGGGGGTTATTATTTTATTATTTGTATATTTTATTTTTATTTCTTTTATATTGTGCTTTCATGTCCTGTAAGCCGCCTTGAGTTGCCATGTATGAGTACGTGGCAATATCAATTGTCTAAATAAATAAATAAACAACTTCTTTCTGGGCATCATTTCTTTGGTTTACTGAAAAATGAAGTGTCTGAGGTAAAAAAAAAATCAATTCGAAGTAATTTCACACAAGCAAAGCAAGACATTTTTGCACAGAAAAGGCAAAATGATTCGGAAGTGTCTAATCTATACAAAACAACAAAGTACTCAATAATAAATCTATAATTGTGTGAAAAATAATAGTCCAAATAATTTCATTAAAAACTCTTGAGATGGGTAGCTATACAATTCTATGAAATGGGCAACTGTGATTACTTGAGTAAATATCAAGATGGTGAATGACTGGACAATACAATCAGCAAATATATTTGTTTCACTAGCTAATCCCTAGGTAAGTCTCTTTGCATTAGAAAAAAGGTTATGAAAGGGGAATTGCTATTTTCTTGGAAATATCTTCCTTGTTATTTTATTGATACTTTGCCCCAAAACAATCCGAGGAAGATTGTGCTAATAGACAGCATTGTCCCACAGTCACTTGAGCCTGGTCCTAGCCCAAATACTCCACCACACCAACACAAGAACTTTTTTTTTTTGTAGAAAATGCTTGGGAGTTTTAAAATGAGCATTGTAGTTTTTCCTGTTTATTGATTTCCATCTCTGAAGAACAATACCACCTTTTAATTTATAAGGGTGAAGAAATCCAGATCGGATTGCATTTTAAATTTACCTTTATTTTAAAATATGTCAAATGGCCTTTCCCCATTGTGCGTTTCTTTATACACAGACACATGCACACACACAAATATACACTCAAACATAATCATACACAATCCAACAGATTAAAAAGAAACAACTATTTTTAAAGCATTATACTTTTTCAAGAAAACTATTCAGGCAAATTTTAAAATGTAATCGGCCCTGCGACTAGCACTCAATTTATTAACATCAAAACATAACTTTTAAAGAAAAAATATAATTTATGAGTATAAATTAACACTTTTTAGGGATCACCCATTTTGAGTAGTTTAAGGGGATGCTGGAGTAGCAACCCCCCCCCCCAAATATGAGGAATTAGTTCCATAGCATCTACCCACTTCTCATTTTGCTGCTCCTGAGATAAGTTACAATAAGGTCAAGTAACAGGAAGCTACAGAAGATGAGCATGACTTCCTTCAACTCTTCCCACTATACATTCTTGCTACAGTAGGCTGCAGTTTTGTTGTTCATGGTTAACATCTATGGATTTTGATTTGTACATTTCTGGCCTCTGAAAAGTTCAGGAATTCTGGTGAATAAATATGGGGATGAGATAAAGCAGGGGTTCTCAATCTTGGCAACTTCAAGACTTGTGGACTTCAACTCCCAGAATTCTGGCTTGTGACAGTAGAAGTATGATTCAGAGGCACATGTACTACTTTTGTAAGCCCAATGAAATTGAAAACAATGAAAAAAAATGTTTGTCTGGATCATCCTAGAAACAAATTGGAAGTTGTTGCCTGGGTGTGGCTGAGGATGAGAGAAACCATTTGTCCAATTCACTGGATTACTTCTATTCAGTTGCAGGCTTAATTTTTCTAAAAGTTAGGAGTTGTTGCATACAAATAGTGCTTGTTGCTTATGCAATAATCACATGTGGATGAGATGCTCAGGGCATTTTTCTTGTTTATTTTTGGGAATTTAAGTCATTGGAAAATGAAATGAGCCAGACCCCATGTGTGTTTATAATAGCAATAGCACTTAAAACTCATATACCACTTCATAGTGCTTTACAGCATTCTCTAAGTAGAGTTAGTGTATTGCCCCCAACTAATCTGGATCCTGATTTTACTGACCTCAGAAGAATGGAAGGCTGAATCCACCTTGAGCCGGTCAGGATCGAACTCCTGGCAGTCGGCAGAGTCAGCTTGCAATACTGCATTCTAACCACTGCACCACCACAGCTCCTGCTCACTAGAAAATGAAATTGCACAGGGAAATGAAATATAATCCACCAACCTATTGGTTTTATTCATTTAAATAAGCGTCCTGCAAAATTATTATATCACCTAGTGGTTTTGTTCCAAATGTGGTGACTTGTTGTCAATTTTCTCCAAATACCATTGCTCTTTTGATAACAAATTGACAGCTTCTATTTCAGTCATGGTAGCCAGAGATACTTAGGAGCACATCTATATATTTCTTTGTCCTAGATCTCCCACATAACTCATGGTATGTCTGCACATACATTTCCTTCCCATGCTATTAAATTACTTTTGGCAATTTTTTGTTACGATATGCTATTTTTTTTTAAAAGGAAACCGAACGTTTTACCCAGGGCATTTCATGACAAGCATTTATGCAATATACATACAGTAAATCCAAACCTGGTGCTTCAAGTACAGAATCTAGACTTCCTTATGTAAGCACGAGTCAGTTGTATAAAGCACAAAATTGCAATAATAAATTATGAGCAGTGTCAACCATTTCCCTGGGTATCTTTGTTATATCACCGGATAAGAATTCAAAGGTTGGCAAAAAAAAAAAAGTTCCTCTGTCTTAAATTTCAGTGAGGAAAAATATATACTTTACAAAAACGATAGTAAAAAGATTTGTAACAGTATTATAAATACATCTTTCTGGAACTCATCTGCAGGGGGAACTTTGTTCAGCTAATAGTTCATAATTAGCAGTGGAGGTTCTCATACTGGCCTATCCACAGCATACTGACACGGGCTGAGACTGGATGCTGCCGTCTGCACTCCTGGGTAGGTGAAGTTGGCATGCTGTTTTGCCTTCAATCGCAAGCTAGCCAGACTAGAGTTGCAGGTATCCCTATACATGTAAGGACTGGCTGTGGATGCGTAGGGACAGGTAGTGGATGGAACGGCAGAGTTAAGACCAGGGCCATTAAGATTGTTAAGGCTTGGGCCTGGCACACCATTCACAGTTGAAGAGACCATTGAGGAAGGTACAGACATAGATCCTATAGAACTGGATGTTGAAAACATGGGCTGGGAAGAAATGGCATTGACATTCATGGAGTTGAAGAACGGGAAGCTCTTTGTTGACAGAGTGCTGGCAGTAAGTCCTTTGGTAGCCCAGTTATTATAGGAATAACTACCATACATCTCATCGTAAGGTTGCATCAGTCCATTGAACTGAGCTCCAAAACTATTCTTACAAAGTTCTGCCTGTTGATTTCTTTCCCGCTTCCTCCATTTGGCTCTGCGGTTCTTAAACCATACCTGTAAAAAAGCGATATAGTTCTTGTTATAAAGTTATACGGGGCGATATTTATTTATTTGTTTGTTTGTTTGTTTGTAAAATTTATATGCCGCCCAATCCCTAGGGACTCAGGGCGGCGTACAAAATTAAAACAACAAGTATAACAATTAAAAATGAATACATTCACACAGCATGTCCCAATCGAATCCCGGCCCCCCCGAGAACATCAACCCCAGGCCTGCCGGAACAGGAGAGTTTTAATTGCTTTCTTGAAGGCCGGCAAGGTGGGAGTAGTTCGAATCTCGGGGGGAAGTTGATTCCACCACGTCGGAGCCACCACAGAAAAGGCCCTTCCCCGAGGGCCCGCCGGCCGACATTGTCTGGCCGACGGGACCTGAAGGAGGCCCAATCTGAGGGACCTCACCGGTCTCTGGGAACTATGCGGCAGTATGCAGTCCTGTAAGTAACCTGGTCCTAAGCCATGAAGGGCTTTAAAGGTGACAACCAACACCTTGAATTGCGTCCGGAGACCCACAGAAAGCCAGATATGTTTGCTTTAGATATTTCTGGCCTTAGAGGCAAAGAACAAAGTAGATGTCAAAGTCTAGAAGAATTGGTGTTATTCATAAAAGGAGAATCACACCGCCGATTTATGCATATTTTATGAAAGTAAGCAATCAAAAAGCAGACAGATCTACATGTTCCTCGCAGGTTTGTAGTTCACTCTTAAAAATCATCTCCTATTTTTCAGATTACTGCCTAAACTTGAACTGAGCATATGGATCTGCTGTTACTCTACCTGTTCTGACTTTCAAAATTGATTTAGTAGCTCCTCCGCTATTAATTATCACTACTCCCAAGAGCTACTCAGATCAGATCCTATATTTCCTCAGCATGCATGGTCCCCATTAGTTATAAGAAGTGATTAAGTAAAGGTTGTTGGTGTCATTTGATTAGGGTAAGAAGAACTTGAAGAATGAGCCTGCTGGAAAAAAGAAAAGAATTTCATGTTGGGAATAATCAGTTAAAAAAATATTATTTTTGAGTTTCTGAAACTTTTTTTTTATTTATAATGGATTTGGATAGATGTGGTTTACGTGATTCCAGATATCTGTGGTTACCAGTAGTGTGTTTTTCTTTTTTTAAAATGTATAGTGTAGCACAGGTCAAAGATAGATTCTTTTCTTTTAATTCTGGCTATTTTGATTCTGTTTTATTTTGAATATATTAAAAGTATTTTATACCATAAGTGGGACAAACATATGGTTTGTGAATGAGTACTAAGCATGTAATGTTGCATGCTTAGTACTCATTCACAAACCATATGTTTGTCCCACTTATGGTATAAAATACTTTTAATATATTCACAGTTTTATCAATCCAAAAGAAGGATTGGGAAAAGGGGAGCTACTGTTTGTATCATATTTGTGAGCTTCCTAGAGATACCGTGTTTCCCCCAAAATAAGACCTGGTCTTATTTTTTATTTTTTTTTCCTCCAAAAGAACTTTTTTTCAACTAGATGCGGTTGAACAGCATCAGCTACTACAGCATTTGAAAATTGTTGGTAAGCAGATAATTAGCATGTAGTTTCCCCTTTTGTGCTGGATCTTTCGTTATCAGGTAGGCTTTGTACGTTTTTTCAGATGTTACCCACTCTTCAATTTCACCTTCTTGCAGTATGTTGTTCAACTGCTTGACAATGCCTGGGTGTAGACTATTCATATACTTCAACCAAAATCAACACACTTCATCTATTGCTGACCAGTTCTTGATCTTCCTTGCCTTTTTCTCCACCATTTCTGCTTTATTACAAGTTCTTTCATTCTGTCTTTTTTAAAAATTCTTAATCACCTCCTTTTTACCAAGGTGAATTTTTGTTATATTTCTTTGAGTTATCCCTCATCTTTGCCCAAAACTGCAGGTTTTTTTCTCAGGTGCTGACTGATTCACTCCAATCTCTCCATTGATGAATTGGTAGAAACATTTCTGATTGGATTGGAATTGGAGATTCTGCCTATAATTTGCAATTTAAGCTTTGTTTCTGCTGATCTATAACTGTTATTTGCTGCTTTATTATTTCCAGTGCTTCCTTGATCTTCCTTGTTTTTAACTAGTATTTCCTTATTGGGTATTCTTTAGTCTTCTTGTTCTTCAGCTTCTTTTGTTTCATTTCTTCTAGCTCACTAGCATCTGATCTCATCTTCCATTTTGATGGTGCACTCTTTGACTTTTTTTCTGCTTTGCTGATTTTGCGTCCCAGGTATTTACTTATAACTGCAGCTGTACTGTACATTAGTTGGTTTATTTCTTGTAGTGAGCTAGTCCTTATATTTGAAATTACAGTTTTGGCATCTTTTAAGAATCTAGACCAGGGGTAGTCAACCTTGGCTTTTATGACTCGTGGACTTTAACTCCCAGAATTCCTGAGCCAGCACAGCTGAGGGGAAAGAGAGGAGTTTCCAAGCTGAGCCATGGCTAGCTCAGGAATTCTGGGAGTTGAAGTCCACGAGTCATAAAAGAGCCAAGGTTGACTACCCCTGGTCTAGACAATTCACCATGGCCAACTTGCCACAGGACAATTAATCATGGCCACATCACCTCAGGACAGCTTGCTGAAGGACAATTCAATGCTCTATTAATCATTTCATTCAGTTACTTTTAGTATTGGTGGCCATGTTTTTGTCAACATTATTCCAATTCTTATTCTAATTTCTGGATTGACTTTATTATTGTTGGTTATGGTTCCGTTGAAATTAATTTAACTTTTATACTTTTGTATTTGTTGAATTGACTGGTGAGTTGTCCCATGGCAAATTGGCCATAGAGAACTGTCCTGTGGCAAGTTGGTTGTGTTAAGTTGGCCACAACAAGTTGTCCCATTCTGTCTTTTAATGCTTCTGCTAGCTGTTTCTTTGGAACAAGTTTAAATGCAGGCAACCTTATTCTGTTATTTTTGTGCTGTTCTAGGTGCTCAGCAATTCTTTTTTTTAATTATTCTACTTCTTTAGATAGATGGCTTTTTTATTTCAGAGGCGGAGGAGAGGGTGCCTGATTTCCAATGAAAACAATTCTACAGCTATACTGGCTTCCTCTATTATCAACTCCCCCTGGTTTGCCTTTATAGTCTTAGTTACTTCTGGCAAGGCTTTGATTTCTTTGCCTTGAGTAGATCTTTGCAGTTCTTCCAGTTCCATTTCTATGAACACTTTATTTCATATTATAAATTGATGTTGATCTGCTTATTATTATTATTCATAATGTTGCTGTTAGTTGCGAAGTCATGTCCGACCCATCACAATCCCATGGACAACGTTCCTCCAGGCCTTCGTCTCCTCTATCATCTTCTGGAGTCCATTGAAGCTCATGCCTACTGCTTCAGTGACTCCATCCAGCCACCTCATTCTCTGTCGTCCCCTTCTTCTATTGCCCTCCATCTTTCTCAGGATCAGGCTCTTCTCCAGTGAGTCCTTCCTTCTCATTAGGATCAACTTCAGGATCTGGCCTTCTAAAGAGCAGTCGGGGTTGATCTCTTCTAGGACTGACCATTTGAACGCCTTGCAGTCCAAGGGACTCGCAGGAGTCTTCTCCAACTCCATAGTTCAAAGGCCTTAATTCATTGGCGCTCATTATTCATAATGCTATTAGTTAAAATAGCATTCTTAAATTATTGCAATATAATGTTTGGGAGTTGATAAACAATCTGTTAACTTCATGAAGTGGTCAAGGAACTGAAGAGTTTGAGAACCACAGCTCTAAAGTAATTGTTGCTACCTCACAAAAAAGGGAGAGAGAGAAAAGATGAGATAAGAGATGAAGAGATTAACTGACTGAAATCTTAGGGAAGGTGATACGTTACTGAATTTGTTTGTATTTGTCCAGAAGGGAGAAGTCATTTCCTTATATATCTTTTTTATTTTTTTTTCCTCTCTGCATTTATTCTTTATTTTTCTTAAGTTTATGTTAATTATCTTTGACTTTTTAAACTTCAAAAAATTATTATTATTTTTTTGACAAGGCACACTTTATAGAAAATTCTTTTAGTTGCATTTTGGGGAAAGGAATTTCCCTAGCTACATTTTCTAACTTGAGTTCACTGTAAGAGTAATTGTGACAATGTCCCTGTTTTTTAAAAAGGGAACCTATGATGCTTCATTCAAATCTTAGGAATATATTCTTTAGATCAGTGGTTCTCAACCTTTCTAATGCCGCGACCCCATAATACAGTTCCCCATGTTGTGGTGACCCCCCAACCACTTATACATTACCAGGTGCCAGGGGCGTGGCCAAAGAAAAGGGGGGAAAATGGCGGACAGCCTTGTTTGGCGACCCCCGTGAAATGGTCGTTCGACACCAAATGGGGTCCCGACCCACAGGTTGAGAACCACTGCTTTAGATAAACTTTAATTGCCCTACTTTGTCAAAAAGGGAAGAAGGCACACAGATATAGTCCCATGCACAGGCTTATTCTGCTCTCTGGCTTTTATTCAGCCTTCTCCTTCACATTCTGGTCCTTTTCAAGGAAATTACAAAGAAAATAATTATACCCGAACTCTGGCTTCCGTCAAGTTGGTCCAGACAGCAATCTCCTCTCGGGTACTCATGTCTGGATACCGATTCCTTTGAAAAGTGGCTTCCAGCTCCTGGAGTTGCTGGCTGGTAAAATGAGTTCTCTGCCTACGTTGCTTCTTTCTCAGGGAGCCATCCTCAGGAGTGGTATCGTCAGGCTGATTCTGCTGTGACTTTTCTGTGTTTATGGAAGCAAAACCAAGGAATCCATCACAGATCTTCACAGTAGCTCAAGACAGTAATTTTTCCTGCATAAACATTCCGACCAATAATGAAAGTGATATTATTAAAGGATGACCTCTTTGTGTTCAATTGCTCAACACATACACAAATCATTTGCTTGAGCTGAAGACAATACTGCAGGTATGCCGCTGCCCCTATACCAGTGGTGGGGAACCTATGGCACGGGTGCCAGAGGCGGCACTCAGAGTGCTCTCTGTGGGCATGCGCGCCGTCGCCCCAGTCCTAGGCCTTCATCTGGGTTTTATAAAACCTTTTCGCTTTAGGCCTCCGCCGCCGTGTGCAAAAAAAAAAAAAGGTTCAGTCAATTTCAACTTCTCGCGGGAAAAAAAAGGATCTTGCAAAGTTGGAATTGATTGAACTTTTTAGTCCCACCCAATGTTACCTCCGCAGCCACGCCCACCCAATGGGCCACACCCACCTGGCACCCGACAATGCATAAGTGGGTTTTGGTTTGCAGTTTGGGCACTCGGTCTCTAAAAGGTTCGCCATCACTGCCCTATACGGTTTATCACAAAGGACAAGGCACATGGTGGCCGTGCAGAACAGGGACTCTCTCTTTCATTTCTCGTTCTAAATTCTTCTATTTCTTAGTGATCCTATATGCTTTTGACAGAAGCCAAACCCAATTTGAGGAACATTACTGATTAAACATTGTGGATTGCGTAGGGACTAGGCAGCCTAGATCCACTGGCATTTCACGATTTGGAAAAATATTTTTTTCTTTTAACAATCATGCAATCGGGAAAAAATATATCTATCTGAAGAAGTAAATTACATGTTCATGAATATATTGAATCTTTTCTGATTCCTGATTTTTCTGAATGTCTCACATGAGGAAGTGGGTATTATTTTATTTTTTGCTTTAAATAAAAACAGGGAGGAGAATCATATGTGTAATGGAATATTGGATGACCTTGGGGGATAAGGGGAAAAGATGCTGGGCAGGAAGAAATCAGATAAGAGCCAAGAGCCCCAGTGGCTTTAAGAGTCAGAGATAGCAGCCTAGGAAGGATCCACCCTAATGCAGTGGTGGCGAACCTATGGCACACGTACCAGAGGCAGCACTCGGAGCCCTCTCTGTAGGCACATGTGCCGTTGCCCCAACGTTGCCTCCTCCCGTGACCCCACCAACAGTCCCCCTGGAGGAGAGTCGCCCCCGAGCGTGGCCCACACAGAGCAGCGCAGCCAAGGACATGGCAGCCAGGCAGCGTAGACAAGACTCGGCCTTCACACCCCATCGCGCACAGCTGATACTGCGGGGCGCAGGCAGAGGGCATGGCCGCAATGGTGCTGCTGAGCTGCCTGGGCAATCTGCAACAGGCTCTGGAGGTGGTGAGTGGCCCTGTGGGCATGCGGGGTGGAGGTGGGGCCAGTTTTTGGGCACTCGGTCTCTAAAAGGTTCGCCATCACTGCCCTAATGGATCAGAGGATTAAAAGTGGCAGTAGGAAGCTTGCATCTTCAGACTTTCAAGACTCTTGTTATTGTAGTCTTACAATAAAGCAGAATGAGCTCTTTTAGTTGTGTTTCCTACTTGGTTTACCTGGGAGAGCTGACAATATGCCGCACCTTCCAACCCAGAATTTGAAAACTAGTGAGATTTTTTTTTTTTAAAAAATGGAACATCTGCAGAATAGGAACTTCATTTTTCTCTCTAAATATTGTTTTGTTGTTCACTTGGGCCATTTAGAGCTGCCAGCCTTATAGATTTCCAGATACAAGATGGCTGTGAGCACAGCCCCAAAACTAAAAATTTAAAAACACAACCAGTTTCAAGCTGGAAAAAAAAAAGAATTATATAAATACTGCTTCATCCAGAGGCAAACGCTTCTTTATTTGATAGATATAAAACCTCTTTGCTCGTATTGCAATGTATTTGTTTATTATTCCACCTTTACATTTAGGAACTCAAGGTTGTGAATTTGCACCACTGCTGTTTTGGACAGGTCTCTTCTTATAATTAACTTGTATTCAAAGAAACAAATTGATTATATAATTGATCTCAATAATAGTATAAAACCAAATGTCTCTGCATCCAAGCCTGTTCAGCATCATCATCATCACCATCATCTGAACTTATTAGACCTGAATATCTTGAATTTGCAAAAAACCACCCTATTCGGAACTGCCTATATACTCAAATGCTACCTTAACAGCTCTTAGGTCCTTGGTTAGGATTTGAACTAAGTTTTTACCAAGTCCAGACTGTGAACAGAATTGAAAATAATAATGATAACGATAAAAAAAACCAACTGTGGCAAAGGCAAGCAAGGGTGGTGGTACCAATAGAAATAGGCGCCTTAGGTGCAATCCCAAAACAACTGGAGCACCACGTGAACACCATCGGCATTGACAAATTCACCATCAGTCAATTGCAAAAGGTGGCTTTACTTGAACAGCTTCCATCCTGTGATATATCTGTAACATCATCAAACATCCAGATCTATCTATCCCAGCTCCTTGGTAAGGACTTGATAGGTAGACAAAAATGCCAAATCCAGTCTGAACATCTATGTGATGATCAATAATAATAACTACCAGTCCCAGACTATGAATCAAATTTAATAACAACAACAATAATGGTAATAGTAATGATGATGATGATACGGCAAAAATTACTGGGGACAGCAAATTGACTTAAGTTCGTGAAAATGAGCAAGTCATGATCCTGTGGGGTTTTCGGATCCAAAGAGACAGACATCTGGCCCACAACATGCCTGACATCACTACTGTGGAAAAGAAAAAAGTTTGGTTCATTGATATTGCAATACCAGGTGATGCACAAATTAAAGAGAAATAGCTAGAAAAAATAACAAAATATCATGATTTGAGAATTGAAGTTGAGCAACTGTGGAGGAAGAAATAATGGTTGTACCAATAGTAACAGGAGCCCTTGGAGCAATGGCCAAAGGGCTACCTAGACACATGGAAATTTTGAACTTATTAGACCTGAATATCCTGACTTTGCAAAAAAACAAAAAACACTCTACTCAGAACTGCCTATATAATCAGACGCTACCTTAACAGCTCTTAGATCCTAGGTCAGGACTTGAACTGTTAAGTCCCAGACTGTGAATCGAACTGAAGATTAACCATAATAATAATGATAATATAACTTTCTTTGGAACAGCTTACATCCTGCGACAATACCTTTAATATAATTAAATAAAAACATCTGCCTATTCCAGGTGGTTAGGAAGGACAAAAATGCCAATGTCAGGCTATGATCTTTACTGTTTTTAGGACCATCGTAGTGCTTCTAGCTTGCCAACAGTTATGAGAAGATGTTTTGACGAACTGAAGTTTCTTCTCATAACAATTGTTGGAAAATTAATTGGACAATGTGACCTGAACTGTCCGAGAGGGGAGGGAATGTTTCGCTCTTTTAATTATCTGTTTCCCGCCATATTCTCAGAGCTAGCTTTCTTTCTATATTGCCGGTTTGCTAATGTCTAATAAAGTTTACATTAGAGATCGCAATGTCTCTGGTGTTTTGTTTTGTTGGGTTTTTCAGCCGGAATTTGCCAGCCAACCCAGTCTAAACATCTGGCTGGCTATGCACACCAACCACAATACAAAAAGATAATCTGACATCATGGACAGAGGTAAAACTGGTAAGGGAAAATCCAGTGTGTTTTAGGCTAGACAGAGGATAATTACGCAAACATATCCTAGCCTCCCAAACCATCAAACACAACCTCAGGTATTTTTTAATTTAGAAAGGCAGAAAGAAAAAAGCTCTAAATGTTGAGTTTTATATATATAAAGGTTCTGCATTGTTTTATTACCAATCCACAGGTCAGACACAACTGGAGCAATGTATCCACAGATCAGACACAACTGGAGCAATGTATCGCCCCTTTATATGAGCATGTGATATATGCAATGCACATTAAAAAATAGACGGGATTTCAATCACCTAGTCACACCCACCATTTTGATGCTCTTGACAAACACGCATGCACACACTCTTACCCTGCAGACATTCCTGAGTGGGTTAAGATTTCATTCTGTTGCCATAAGGATTATACGTTAGCTGTATAATCTTTTGGGATTATACTGTTTGGAGTCTTCTGCCAAGCCTTAGATTAAAGGTTAACTGATCATGGAACTGTGATTCATGTCTAAGTCCAATAAGTGTGAAGCCTGATAACAGATCACAGGTGTCCCACGAAGAGATTTCTTATTTATTAATTAAATTGGATTGGGGTGCCACTTAAGTCCAGAATGACTCTGCATGATTTACAATTTAAAAACAGAAAATCAATAGAGTAAAGGAAATTTCTGAAGCATTCACACAATCATATTGCATATATGGGGGGTGAGAGGCTCTGGTGGGGTGTCACAGCCATAACCATCCCACAACCTGGGCAAATAGCCACATTTTTAAAGTTTTCCAGAACTTCATTAGGAGATCATTGTAGATTTTAGAAAGAGCCGGCATAGTCATCCTCCACTCAATATCAAGTACGCAGCTGTCGAGGTGGTCAACAGTATTAAGTATCTAGGGGTGCAGATAACTAACAATCTGAATTGGTCTCTCCACGCGTCATCCTTGGTGAAGCGTGCAAACCAGTGTCTACATTTCCTGCGTCGGATGAGGAGAGCACATTTTTCTACTTCTGTCCTGGCCACTTTTTACAGAGGCACAACTGAGAGCATTTTAACAAACTGCTTCACTGTCGAGTTTGGTGGCAGCAGCGCCTCAGATAGAAAGTCCATACAGAGAATGATAAGGACAGCCGAGAAGATCATAGGAAGCTCGCTCCCTGGTACTCAGGATGTTGCTTATAAGCGCTATGTGCTTAGAGCTCAAAGCATTATTACAGACCCCACACACCCACTTCACGGTCTATTTTGTTGCTCCCCTCCGAGAGGAGGTTTCAAAGTATTTCTAGCAGGACTTCCCAATTCTGTAATAGCTTTGTTCCCTATGCCATCCGTCTGGTAAACTCACAAGATTCGTTTTTCTCGCCATGCACATAATCCGAACTAGACTTTCTCCAGCAGGATGACTGTAGAGTCCAAATGGATGGGTTCTATGACGGCCTTCCTGCCTGGCAGACTGGGTAAAAACTTCGGCCACACCCCTTCCTTTGGGCGTGACCCCAGTTTTGACTCAGTCTCGAAGCCTGGTAGAAGTGCGAGAAGCAGCTCTCAGAACAAACTAACTTAACTTAAAAAAAAAAAAAAAAAAAAAAAGGGAATCCCCTCTTCCTCCAGTTGAACGAAAATTTGTCTGGCAGCGGATAGGACTCGAGAGAGGCAGCCGGGATCGGCGGATTCGTGAGTGGGGCGTCAGGGACTAACGGGAGGCTTGGAGCCGGACCGGATCGCTCGCCCGCCGATAACCGGCCCACCGAGCAGCTGTTGGGGCGGGGGTTTCACTACCGGATTGCTCGCCGCTCTCCGGGGCCGCCAAACAGCTGAGCGGTTCGGGCGATAGAACGAGGCGCCGCTCAGCGCCAAACAGCTGAGCCGCGCGGAAAGCGTGATTGGGGCCGATAGAACGAGGCGCCGCTCAGCGCGAAACAGCTGAGCCGCGCGGAAAGCGGCTAAACCGCGGCGCCGCTCGGCATAGACCAGCGGAGCGGCGCGAGAGGCAGAACCAGCGCTAGAAGTGCCTTCTCCTTAGAGGAGAGGCGCGGTCCCTCAGAGTCAAAGATCCGCCATTGTTTGAACCTCGTGGATTCCCGGGCTAACATTAGGAGGCGTGGTTTCTTCCCCATTCGCCATTTTGAGCGAACGGACCTTCCCGCCGTTTTCCCTTGGGGGCGGGGCCATCCGGACTCCATTCCCTTGCAGACAAAGGGGCAGCCCTTAAGCTAAAATCCGGGATTATCGCAAGAAACTGAGACAGGAGGAAGGAAGAGGGAAAAGGAAGAGAACCTTTCTGATCGTGGTCTGCTGCCACAGCCACAGACAGGGGGAGAGAGAGGTATAAACTGCACTTTCTCTGGACTAAGTGAGGAGGTGAGGAGGAGTATTTTTCTCTGACTGTTCCTATAGTGACCTTTAGTCACTGCCTTGCAGGATCTTCTGTCCAAAGACTCCTGTCTGTCCGGCCATTGTTTGTATAGGCAGAGGAGGGCTCAGCCCCAAACATCTGCATCTGGTCTGCATAATTTGCTGTGAATGAGTAAATATACTTCCTGGGTAGATAGCATTGTTTAAAGGTTCTAAAGTGCACCAACTCTGACTGAATTTTCCATATGGGCAGAAATAGGCAGTCCCTCAAATAATCAGCCCCTATTCCACGAAGGGCTTTGTAAGTGGTAACCAGAATTTGGGACCAGCTGTAGCTGCCAAGTGGTCTTCAAGGGCAGCCCCAGCTAGAGGATGTTGGAATAATCCAATTGTAAGATGACTAAGGGCATAAATAATCCAGGAATAGGTGCAACTGACACATTAGACAAAGCTCTCTTCTCCACAACTGATGTTTGCTCTTTAAGCAGGAGCTATGAAACCAAGACAACTGCCAAACTGCACACCGAACTTGAATGGGGGAGTATAATCCATCAAGGCTAAAGTTGGGAAGTCCCCATATCTGGGGTGGGCAAAAATCCACTGTCACTCAGTCTTGGGAGAATTGAACCCAAGTCTGTCCTCCACATCCAGACCTGCACAGTCCTCAGATGCACAACATTGACAGTATCACTTGGCTGTCCCAGGTGGGGATGTACAAATGGGTATCCATCCATCTCTTGATGATATCAAATGTCAAACTGATGGATGACCTCCCTTCATGGTTTTATGTAGCTTAGAGAGAAGAGTTTTTAGGAATTACACAGTTTCCTTTTCTATGCATAATACTGTATTCCCCATATAATACTGAAATTTATTCATCTTGCATGCTTAGGTTAAAAAAAAAAATAGTGGGAGTCACTATATCATATCTGTCCATGTCTGAAGCAGAGATAGGTTGCCTGGAACAGAGATGAACTAAGATGCCTGTTGGCTAGCTATTCCCTAAATTACAGCAGACAATTACAATTGCATGGTGGAGAAAAGATGATGTGAATCCTGGCAAGATTTCAAAGTAGAGGAAAAACTGCAGAGGGAAAATAAACAACAAATTTATCATTCAACATTTCCAGGAATATGTTGGAGAAAGTTTTGTCTTCTTCCATTGGGAAGTAAGCTAGCCTTTTACAGCTACTACATTGTTTTCTGAAGAAAAGGTCAAGGATAATAGTTATCAATATATGGAAGCTCAGATGGAAAGAATATTGAGAAAAAAGGAACAGTTGGGCCAAAGAAGCTGCCAGATTATTTAAGTTTTTGCATACGTTTATGTGTTATATTAATAGATACTTGGGAGTTCCATGAAGAAACAAAGACCTTAAGGGGTTATTAACTGCTTAAGTAAGAAAAGCTGCTAATGGGTTCAACTGCATCAACAAGACTCTGTACTGTATTAGTTTTGCCCTAGTTTTCTTCCAAGATGATGCATATAAGATTCTCTTATCTAATTTTCCCAACAGCAACCCTGATAGGTAGGCCGGGGTGAGAGTGATTAACCCAAACTCACCAATGAGCTTCCAGGGCTCAGGATAAGCTTGAACCTGTTTCTCCCCAGTCCTAGTTCAAGACCTTAGCCACTACATCTCCTTGTAAAGAAGCCTGGTATACCACAAGTTTGTGTCTTCTGTAGAGACAATAAAATAATTTACACATTTAATTTCATTTTGGCTAGCTCATATAGAGCAAAAAGAGGGGACCATGAAGGAAATTGAAGGAACTGAAGTTTACTTAGAAAAAATCTCCACTGGTTCACTGGGAACCGCTAACAAATATCTATAGAATTGCAACCTAAAAGTTTATTGTTTATGAAGGTACTCTTGCATGCTGATAACTGATTCATTTTCTCTACACAAGATTATACAGCCTTACTTAAATTGTACAAATAAAGTTTGAAAAAAATCTACCCTATTTTTCAAGAGGCATGTCACCCTTCCATCAGTACTAAGTCTGTAATTACATAGGCTGAGGTGATAATTGTCATAAAAGGGCAATTAATGATTAGTTGATTTGTTATTGTACAGTATTTAATTATAAGAGAGAAGATGCTTTCTGCCGGTGAATGCCTGTGCTATTTTGCAGGGGAATAGGCCCTTTGCCAGGGCATCCCAGCCCCACACTCAGTGTTACAGTGTCAAAGTGCCACTTGTATTTTGTCATATAATATTATAAACACTTAAAAGATTTCATCTGGCTTCAGCAAAGCACTTTTTATTTGACGATAAAATTTAAAAGTGTTCATCTTACCAAAACGGCCAGTTTAAATGACAGGTATCTCGTTATCTTTTTCATGTGACTTTTGAATTTATGTTGTTAGTATGGATCCGACAGTTTGAAAAACCATAGTATGAATAAGATCACAGTGCTCCCTCCTCAATCAGCATGGAGTAAAAGTCGGACAGGAAAGCTGAAAGGGAGACCATTTTCTGGTGTCGCCCTTCTCCTAAGCAACGGTGCTCTATCTGAGTTGAGATCTCAGCACTCATCCTCCTGGCATTTCAAAAAGCAATTAAGAGAGACAACTGATGAGTTGCAGTGGATGATTAGATTACTATTTTTCCCTTTGGAATGAAGGCAAGTGGGAAGATTTCACACATTGAATCTGGAACTCTTCCAGGTAGTCGCCGTTCTGCCTATTGGTGACGGGCCATTTTAAGTGGGGACGATAGAGATAACAAAAGTGCAAATTGAACTCAAACCTGAACTATTTATTTTGGGTGTAATAAATTTAAAGATGGAAAAACAACTCCAATACATCATTGTACATATATTAACAGCAGCCCGCATAGTATATGCCCAGTGTTGGAAAGGTAAAAACATACCTACAAATGATATGATTATATATAAAACACTAGAATGTGCGGAAATGAACAAACTTACGCTAGAACTAAAAAACAAGGAGGCAACAGAATTGTATGAGATATGGAACAAATGTTAAGATTGGCTAGAACAGAGAAACAAAAAGACATGTAACTAATGTAAATAACTGTAAATAATATATATGAGATGTATAACACAGTACTGTTAAGGAAAAAATATATTACTTTTATTTTTGTTGTATAGTGGAAAAGGAATAAATAAAAAATTTAAGTGGGGACGATAAACGTTGGCACACAGGACATCTCTCGTGGCATCCGCAAAACCCCAGCTTGATCCCATTTCCAGCACCAAGTACAAAGTTAAAAAAATATTGAGATTTCAATTAATTTCGATAATTGAATTTATATAGTCTATTAAACTTTCATTTTTAGAATTTTTCAACACTAAACGCTGGAAAAAAACCCACAAACACGTTGTTTCTATTATTTAAGGAAATCCCCCTTAAAACAAGAAAAGAAGGTATCTGTTCTCCTACTTACCGCTTGCTTGCCCCTTGTGCCTGTGTGCATGTTGAGGTGTCCCAGATTCTGAGAGGGAAAGAGGGGGGCTCTGAGCTTCTGGGTCAGTGAGCAAGTTGAACTCCATCTGCCAGGCACAGGTGCTGGAGAGGAACTGAAGAGATATATGGGGTAGTATGAGGGGAGAGATAGGCTTATCTGGAGGTAAATTAGTTCACTGAGACTTATGTTCAGGTGTTTACAGCTGAGACCAACAGCATGATTAAATTAACATGTTTACTCCAAAGAGGTAAACGGAAGCACGAAGCCGAAAACACCAGCCTGAAGATGACGAATGGGACTTCGTCGAAACGTCGCCAAGACACTTCAAATTTTACGCGGGAGAAAACCTGAATAACCAAAGACCTACATACACACACACACACACACACACACACACACACACACACACACCTCGAAATAGCTATACTAGTTTCCCTTTAACTCTTTGTTGGCAATCCAAATGTAACATACATACTGTATATAGATTTGCAGGCTAACATTTCATGTGAAGTTTTTAGCCATTTTTAAAATTAGGGGCATAAAATAGGGTATTGTCCACTTTTAGAGTGATTTATTTCTGTATTCTCAAAAGATCAGAGCAGTCATATCCTACAATGGATAGAAATGCTCTAGGTGTGAATTTTATCAGTATCTTACAACTATTTTTCTCTTCATTTTTAATCTGCATTTTTATGAGGTACATTAAAATTATCTCTATACATATTTTTAAACAATGGATACTGAAAAGTTTTCTCTGTCTCTGTCTCTGACTCTCTCTCTCTCAGGAAGAGGAAAAGGATGCAGCTTAGAGAAAAACTTTAAAATATGCATTTTCCACAGAGAGCAAACCATGATTTGAGATTTGAATACATATATGCATAGTTTACACACACTCAATGTGCATGTATGCGCAAACATATGCACAAAGGTCTATATAGGAATCCGTGTTTTCCATGATACCTTTTCATGCATTTTGTACATGAAGCAAAGCGCACCAATGGTTATTGCTATTATTGTGAGGGCTTTTGATTCCAATTATGGAGAAATATACAGTGCATTAATTTATTGGGCTAAATATAGAGATGTGTGTAACTTTGCTGTCTTTGAATTTATTAAGTCCCTTCTCTAAGAAGCAGCAAATTAAATTTCTTGCCATTTTTTATAAAATGATTATGGTCCTCATTATGATAATTATTTGCATGTGACTGCATCTGCAAAGAGCAGTTTTCTCTCCTCTGACGCTGGCAGTGCAACCCTCAGATCCAAAGTTTTCTCTTTCACCTGCTCAGCTAAAGAGTTACTTGGCATAACCCTCAAAACCTCCTAGCAAAAGATAATTAAGTTTTGCTACAGTAAAACTTACTTCACTAGAGGCTTATCCAGCAAACTTTTACTTTTGCTATACACAAACATATAGCTTTTGATTATTTTCCTTTATCAATAAATGAACAAGTATATTTTTGACTTGTTTAATTATCTTTTTTCTAATGTTAGGACTTGTGTGGAGAACAGATCACAGTTTAGGTTAGGGGTAGGCAACCTTGGCTCTTTTATAACTCGTGGACTTCAACTCCCAGAATTCCTGAGTCAGCATGGCTCTGCTTGGAAATTCTCCCTTTCCCCTCAGCATGGGTGGCTCAGGAATTCTGGGAGTTGAAGTCCACGAGTCATAAAAGAGCCAAGGTTGCCTGCCCCTGGTTTAGGTCATGTTTATGATGAAATATTGAAAGTTCAGACGGATTCACAAATTTTCAAGCTCCACTATATCTATGTGTGTGTTCAGAGTTAGCCATTTAGCCTTCTACTTAAGTCAATTTTTCCCTGTTTCATTGGGTTAATAAGAACTGCTTCAAACTTAATTTTCTCCTCAGAAATAATTTGCATATTTAATAAAGTGGAAAATCAGAGTATGGTGTAATGTTCTCTTATCTCATTTCTGGATTTAATACATGAGATTGTGATGTAGTTTCTCACTGGTTGCATATATTTGTTTAGGAAGATTGTAATGTATAAGTCATGCCTCAAGAGATTTTACGGTATGATTATTTGTGATAACTGCTTTTTTACATTCCCATTCTTTTCTAGATTGTTATGGACAATTATTGAATTCAGCTTTTTGAAGCTGTGCTTTGTTGGCCACCTGATTTTAATTTGGTCTAAAAACCAGAAAACCATGAGTTCTAGTCTCACCTAAGGCATGAAAGCCAGTTGGGTGATCTTGGGCCAGTCACTCCCTGTCAGAACAACTCACCTCACAGAGTTGTTGTGGGGAAAATAGAGAAGGAAGTTTAGGTAAATTTGCCACCTAATTTACTTATAAAACAATAAAAATGGGATTAAAAGAAATGCAATAAATAAATTGTGGAAGGCACTTACTTTTATTTCATATATGAATCTGCTAGTTAAATTTGAGGCTAGTTCTTTATATTCAACGTACTTAGTACAGACTATAAATGTTCTATAAAAATAACATACTCCCTTCCCCAAGAAATAATACAGGTAATTCTCGACTTATGACAACTGAGTCCAAAATTTTGGTTGCTAAGTAAGTTTGGCCCCATTTTATGACTTTTCTTGCCACAGTAGTTGAGTTAATCACAGCAGTTAAGTTAATAATACAGTTGTACAGTCAGTCTGGCTCTCCCATTGACTTTGCTTGTCAAACGGTTGCAAAACGTGATCCCATGACCCTGGGACACTGCAACCGTCATAAATATGAGTCAGTTGTCAAATGTCTGAATTTTGGGGATGCTGCAATGGTTGTTAAGGCATAATTTACTTTTTTTCAGTGCCATTGTAACTTTAAATGGTCACTAAATGAACTGCTGTAAATCAAGGACTGCCTATATTTCCATATTTAACACATCGCTCCAACTTTTAGAAGCAATCTTTGAGAGCTTGGCAGTGGTGGAGTATTTCTTTTTCCTGTTTTCCTTTCATTTATAAAATCAGTCAGAATCAAACCGTACCTGATGGTTGTTTCTTAATAGAATTCCTGACTTGTTTCATCATTAGGATTGCTATCATAATTTTAAGTTTTTATTTTAAGTACAAAATACTTTGTACTGTTACCATATCTAATTATGATGATTTATATTTATTCTTGGGAACCAAAACACTGACTTGCTTTTCCTTGCACATTCCAGACCAGAGGAATGTGGGAGAGAAAAAAGATAATTCAGAATATTATGTTGACCTCCACTATGTGATTTTGGATATGACATTTTAATTTTGTTTTGATCCTGTAGTTTTAATATGTGGACATTTGCTAGAGATTGTTCACAGTTCTGGGGAAATCTACATGCACTTGTTTATTTATAATATGGTTACTGAACATAGCAAAGATGAACAGCAAACTGAAATGAGTTTTGATTGAAAACATACCAAAACTGAAAAACTAGTGTAAGTTTAAACAAAGTCCAATCGTTTTTTTTATATACATAGAACTGGAGCAGTATAAAATATTAGAACTAGTGTATTTTCTACACTTCTGATCATAATGGAAGTAAAAACAGGGCAGGAGGGAGACCAATATTGACAAGATAAACAGCCACTGTTACTCAGAAGTAGTTAAAGACTGTCAGTAGGACAAGCTGTGATAGACTTGTATCACATTTTCTCTCTTTGTCAGCTGCTGTTTCATTTATCTGAGCTGACTTCCGACTGAAATTGCCAATATCTGGGCCAAATGTACTCTTAAATTCAGTAGTCCCCAGTTTGTTTCTTCCCATCCTCTAAAATGAACAGATGTGATTTGCAGCGAAGGGAAAAGACATTTGTTATAAAAGGGATAATTCACAATTATTTACAATTACTGTTTCTCTGTTGTTCACATGGAGCCTTTAAACAAAAAGTTTAAACTTACCTGCCAAGTAAGTTGTCTAATATATCCTCCAATTTATAACTTTTTTGATTTCCAGGTTCACCAGCAAAAAAAAACATTTCCATGATTAGGTCAAAAGTGAAATATGTCAACAGAAATCCAAGATTTTAATATGAGGTGGTTGAGCCTCCGCATGTCTATCTCCCAATGCCATTTCTAAATCAGACGTATTTTCTATGAAATAATTACACCTATTTTATTTTTTCAGCATTTTAAAGCAAGTCATGTCAGTACAAATTTGTTCGGTTTATTTCCATTTTGTAAACTGAGCAAGGTTTATTATAAATACGAGCCCTTTTCAAAATACCAAGCATAGTACTTAATTTAATGCAAGTCAAATACTATCCATTTGTACATATATATTCACATCCAGCCCAAAACAATGCACTGCACTATAAAAATTCCTTCTTTGAATATTGTGGCTATCATCTACCATATTCATACAACCCAGACTGTTGGTAAAGACATGTTGTTTTTCAATTTTCCAGGCTAGGACGGAGAGTGTGACTGATCCAAAGTGACCCAGATAGCTTCTATACCCCATGGGGAGGGCTAAAGGGAGAACTAGTTCAGTACTTTAACCACCTCATTCGTGCAGACATGGGTGCAACATGCATGCAATCACATACACACATACACTATAAAAGTTTTTTAGTTTGGCAGTTTTTTCTGAAAATTAAAAAAAACCTTGGATAAACTACTAACTAGAGGAAGGTAAAAAACGATTACTCTGGCATTAAAACAAGCAAACAAACAAAATAATAACTTAAGATATTCAAAGGAATTACTTCCATATTTATTTAAACTTTTAAAAGCTGATGCACTTAAATGAGTTCCAGGCTCTTTACAGAGATGGGGTTTTTTTCTGGACACTTTCTGAAACAAACCAGTGAGTCAAGAAACGTTTTTGGAAGAAAGGATAAATATTATTCAAACTTTATGATTGTTTCATGTAGATTTCTTTGAAATGAATTCCCAAGTCCACCCAGAATTTTTTAAAATCATTATTACAAATGCAATATCATATAGGATTCTACTTCAATTCCTAGGGATGCATTTCACTTCAGCTCAGGAATAATAATAATAATAATAATAATAATAATAATAATGGTGGTGGTGGTGATGATGATGATGATGACGACGATTCAATGTGATCCTATTATTTGTCATTGCCATGATCCCACATTTAGTAATTTTGAAGAAAACAAATCTTGGCTATCAAACACCAA